CCGCGCCCGCCGCCGCCGCGCGAGCGCCCTTCCCGCCGCCCTTCGGAGGCTCCGGCTTCGCGCCGCCCGGCCCCGGCCTGCACTTCGCGCCGCCCGCGCCCGCCGCCGCCTTCGGCCTCTTCGACGACGCGGCCGCCGCCGCCGCCGCCGCCTTGGGTCTGGCGCCGCCCGCCGCCCGCGGTCTACTCACGCCGCCGTCGTCGCCGCTCGAGCTGCTGGACGCCAAGCCCAAGCGCGGCCGCCGTTCCTGGCCGCGGAAGCGCACGGCCACGCACACCTGCAGCTACGCGGGCTGCGGCAAGACGTACACCAAGAGCTCGCACCTCAAGGCGCACTTGCGCACGCACACAGGTGAGCGCAGGGGTGGCGCGCGCGGGACCCCCCGAGGGGAGGCGGGACGGGGGCGCTCAGGGCTCCCCGGGGGGAGGGACGGGGCGCGCGCGCGGGACCCCCGCAGGGGAGGACAGGCGGGTGCGCTCAGGGCTCCCGGGAGGAGGGACGGGGCGCGCCCGGGACCCCCGCAGGGGAGGAGAGGCGGGTGCGCTCAGGGCTTCCCGGGAGGAGGAACAAACGGGGCGCGCTCGAGACCCCCGCAGGGGAGGAGAGGCGAGGGTGCGCTCAAGGCTTCCTGGGAGGAGGGACCGGGCGCTTGCGGGACCCCCGCATGGGAGGAGAGGCGGGGGCGCTCAGGGCTTCCCGGGAGGAGGGACGGGGCGCGCGCGGGACCCCCGCAGGGGAGGAGAGGCGGGGTGCGCTCAGGGCTTCCCGGGAGGCGGGACCGGGCGCGCGCGGGACCCCCGAACGGGAAGAGGGGCGGGGGCGCTCAGGGCTCCCCGGGAGGAGGAGAGACGGGGGCGCGCTCGGGACCTCACACGGGGCTGGGACGCGGCGCGCTCAGGGCTCCCCAGGCGGCGGCAGGACGGGGCGCACGCGCTTCTGGAGCCGTGAGCGGGAGGATTCAGCCCCAGGGAGGCTGGGGAACCGGAGCGCCCTCGGGAACTTTATTTAAGGCGGGCGGGAGGGGCCGGCTCGGAATCGCGGGCCTGCGGGTTCCGGGGGAGACTGACCGCGCTGCCCGCCCGCCCGTCCACAGGGGAGAAGCCGTATCACTGCAACTGGAGCGGCTGCGGTTGGAAGTTCGCGCGCTCCGACGAGCTCACGCGCCACTACCGCAAGCACACGGGCCACCGGCCGTTCCAGTGCCACCTGTGCGACCGCGCCTTCTCGCGCTCCGACCACCTGGCTCTGCACATGAAGCGCCACATGTAGCCCCCTCCACGCCCCACACCCCCGCGCGCGGCCGTGGCGGGTCCCACGCGCCGGGCTCGGCCCCCTCTCCCCCTCCCCCCCGCAAAACTGTGACTGATATTTATTGGACCCAGCGGACCGGGCCCAGCCCCAACCTGAGACTGGAGACCCCGTGGGGTGGGGCGGGGCGGGGTGGGGCAGCGCCCACCAGGCTGCCCCAGACCGCGGCTTGTTTTCTATGGTGCAATGACTCCGGGTGGCCGTCCCACCCCGGCCGGGTCTACACTAGCGTGACGATGTACATAGGCACTGTGACAGATTCTGGATCACTGTAAATTCGGGCCGGATGCCGTGATGCCACCGGCTCCAGATTGTTGTTTTTATAAGACTTGCTGTTTTTTAATTAAAAAAAAAAAAGTTGTGTCTTTGGAAGGATTGCTCCCGGGGATGGGGTCAGGGGGCAGAAGGGGAGTGGGAAGGGGCAGGGTGGGCCATGGGTTGCCCAGCACCAGCTGTGCTGACAGCTGCGAGGGGCCTGTGGCTTTTCTATAAATTTCTACACCGCCTTTTAAGACAGGGAAGGCAATTTTAGGTCTGTTCCCTGGGCCATAAATTGCCTCCTTTCCTTCAGGGCTGGAGAAAGTCGCTTCCAACTGGCTGTCCTCCCAAGACCTTTCTCCCCTTTTGGAGGTCTGAGGCTTTAGTGGAACTGGCGATGTGGGCACTGTATTTTTTTAAGTGGCAAATGCAGTTTCTAATCTGCTTTGCCTTTCATTACCCGTCTTGCCTTAAACCAAGATTTTATCTATTTAGAGTTTGGGGTCACACCCAGCGGAGCTCAGGGGGCCATGGGAGGCCAGAGATCAGTCCTTTTCCCTCACTCCTGACATGACTATATATTTTTTTAATTTAAGTCAGGGCTTTTGTAGCAGCCAGCAGGACGCACAGCTCAGAGCTTGGCCAGAGGCGCAGAATCTCACTGGCGGGGCTGTGCCCAGCTGCCTGGCCCTATGCTCAAGGGTTTCTCCAGAGAGCGCTTGGGGCTCCAGTGCGGTGCTGGGGGGTGTGCCAGCTAGCACCGTGACCCCGAGCTTCCCAGCCCCTTTCTTTTTTGGGGGGAGTGCCCAGGAATCACTCCTGGCAGGGCTCTGGGGACCACCCGATAGTGCTGGGGATGGGATTGGGCTAGTCATGCCTGAGGCAGGACCCCCACCCCCCACTTCTGTCCCCCCCTACTGTCCTATCACTCAGGCTCTTGGGGGCTTCTGGAGGAATGTGTTCTTCAGGAAATGTAGAAATCAGGGTCATGCATGACTCCGCCCAGGACACAGGCCAAGCGTTACCCCCGGGCCTCTGAGGAAAGGCACCTAGAGCCACCAGCCAGTGCAGAGTGCCCAAGGCATGGGGCAGGATCCCCTTCCTCAGGCCTGGGGGCTGCGGGAGCCCCCCCCCCGCACCTGCCTGCATGGCCACGGGCTTCTCCCCTTGATGGTAGCAGCTGGCCACGGGCGCCTGCCTGGAGGAGCGGCGTCCCACACTCCCGCACGCAGCCACTGCTGCAGGCACACCCCGGAGCCCGGGCACCTGTGTGTACAGGCTTGTGTGCCCGTGTGTGTATGTGCATGCGTGTCTGTTCATGCGTGCATGCATGCCCATGTACATATGTATGTTGTACCTGTAAATGCACATGTGTGCATACATGTGAGGACGCAGGCATTGTGTGCATGTGTGTGCCAAAATGAGAATTGTGTGCACCTGTGGGCATGGGCATGTGGGCATCTACACAAGCACCCCCTGCTCTATTTTTGCAACTTTGGGAAAGGGGGTTCCTTATAGGCGGCCCTGTCCACTTTGGTCTCCCAGGTCCAGCCCGGATCCCTGAAAGCCCTGGGTCTTCCCGTCACAGCCCCCCCCCCCCACCTGAGAGGGTTGGTGCAGTGATGGCTGATTGCTCCCCTCCCCAAGACCCCAAACTTCCTGTGTCAGCTCTTGGATGGCTCCAGGAGGGGCCCAGGAGGGAGAGGTAGACCTGGGCCACAGAGGGGCTGGGGGTCCTTCCCTCCCTGCACCCCATCTGCTCCTGGTGCCTGTCACCTGGTTTGCCTTTGCGGGAAGGATAGTCAGGGAGCTCAGCGAGGCAGGGACCAGGACAGCAGAACGGAACCGGTCTCTGCTGCCGCCCCCACAGCTCCTGTTTATTTGCGGTCAAAGCCGCAGGAGGCCCATTTGCCACCGTGACCAGCCTCAGAGCCAGCGCCCCGAAGCCCCGCCCTTCCCCACCAGCCACAGAACCGAGAAGTTCCACTTGGGGGCTCACTCCCAGAAGTGGGGTCTCTGCAGGCTTCTCCCACCTGTCCGGCCGCCCACAGGGTCACAGCTGTAGGGGTGCAAAGAGGTGAGGGTGCGGCTAGCACTGGCACTCCTGGCCCCCATCCACCACCCCCAGCCCCTGACCTACTGTCATGTCCTGCCAGGGGCATTCTACCGACCAGGCTGTGGCCCCTCCCACGCCCCCCAACTAAGTTTCTGTCACCTGAATGGGGAGGTTGGGCCCTGATCCTGTGACCCCCAAACTGCCTGCTATACCAGATTCACAGGACCCAGAGCATGGGGGTGGGGGTAGCTGAGTCCCAACATGGGGGGAGGTGACACGCTCTGTAGTGAACACAGCCCAGGGCTCACCCATGAGCCTCCGACCCATGGTGCCCTTTTGGGGATGCCCCACACCCCCACGATGTGCTTGGTGCCAAATGTCTGGCTCCGTCAGGCTCCAGGCCAGCTGCAGGAGGGGAGGGGTCCAGGGTGGCCATAGCCCCCCTCCCCCACACACACGGCCCCATGTGGGTCCAGGCAGGCAGGTAGAGGGTGTCTCGGGTCACACTGGGGTCCCCCACCCACCCCAGAACCTTCTCCCGGCTCAGCGGATGCCTGAGCACTGCAGCAACCCCCCAGCCCCCAGTGGCCCGGCACTGACACTCCTGGATTCCCGTGGGTGTGTATGGGGTCTAAGGTTGTGGGGGCCTCAGCGCACCCCCACCCCCACCACACACGCTTCCCCAGCAGGGAGCAGAGTGCTGGGGGGGACGACACAGAATGTTCTGGAAGCAGGGGCTGAGGGCACATCCCAGCAAGGGTGCTCCTGCCCCTGGCTCAAGTACTTTAAAGAGGGAAAACTCTGCCCTGAGTGTTGTTTCTCCAATAACAGGATGATCTTGAACAGAAGCGGCCAGGGGGTGAGCTCCAGTGGTCAAATTGCTGTTTTCAATAAAGTTGTTTTGTCAACTTGGAAAACGCAGAGTGGACGGTGGGCGAGCGGCACACGACTCACAGCAGCGGGGGCAGGGGACGGGCATCAGGCTGGGCTCAGAGCCAGCAGGTGCGATGGAAGGTTCCGGATGCTGGTGGGGAGGGTCACACAGCCCGTGAGGTGCATTGGGCTTGATAAATGGCACATTTTGTCCTGGGGCAAAACTCCTCCACTTTATAGATAGATGATGGACGGACAAACGGCCGCTGGGTGACCGCTGGGCTAGGGGCACAATGCACAGATGTGGCAAGGCAGGAACCCCCCACAGGCCCCTCCGGGGCAACCGCCTGGGCCCCGGGTCTGGGGCATCCAGGGAGAACCTTGCCCGAGCTTCTGGAATGTTCTGGGGCCAGGTTCTTGCCCCCCACAGGGGAGTTGGGCGCAGCTGGAAGGAAGCGTCGGCTCCGTGTTTCATATTAAAATAGTTTATATGACAGAGTTGGCGGCTGGGGGCGCGGGCGGGCACTAGGCCGGCATGTCAGCCTTGCTGAGCGCGATGGCCAGCTCCAGGTCCTCCTGTTCCTGGCGACGAAGCCGCGCCAGGCGCTCGCGCTCCGCCTTCTCGCTCTCCCGCTTGGCCCAGGCCAGCTGCTGCTCCTCATTGCCCAGCTGCGGAGAAGAAGGGGACCCCGTTACGTGCTGTGGGGGGCCGGCACGGAGCAGCGGGGCTTGGACTTGAGCAGTCTGTGAGGTGCCGGTTCAGGGCCCCAGACCCACCCTGGGCGGGGGCCATCACCTGCTGACAGATGTCTGCATCCTGCAGTGACACTTCCAGGTGCCAGTCTGGCTCTGCCACCCTCGGACACCCCAGGACCTCAGTACAAGGGGCACGCGGCCAGCAGGCCTGGGGCTGGGACAGAGGCTCTAGGAAACTGTTTCCCCATGAGGCCCCAGGAGCAGCCTCCAGGATGCACCCCCGACTCCGGCTCTTTTGGGGGCCGCCCCGGCCGCAGGAGCTGCCATACACCTCGTGTCAGAAAGGTCGTTCCCAGGGTCACTGCAGACAGGGGCCGGGGGGCTCTGAGGGATATGGGACCCTCCTGCCCCGGACCCTGAAACCCCACGGGAGGTGAGTGCAAGTCACTCCACCCTCAGGACCTCAGCCTCGGCCCAGGCCACGAGGGGCGTTCAACAAACTCACGCGGACGCCGTTTGCTTCCGCCTTTATTGACGCGACGAGGCTGCCGCCCCTGACCCTGGCCCCGCACCCTTCACGACAAGAAGCTGGGACAGGCCTGGCCCTGCCATGCCCAGGGGAGGTAACACGGGGTGTTCCCATCCTGGCAAAGCCTGGATAAGGGAACCCCCCTCGGGTGCTCACACGCGGGGTGACCGCCCTGAGGCCCAGAGGCGGCGGCTGTGTCCTCGCGATACTGAGACGCAGGCTGAGGCCATGCTAACACCACGGGCACGGGCTCAACTTACAGAGCTGAAGGCCGCCAGGCCCAGGGACGTGGTCTTGGGGGGCTTAGCCGGAGAAGAGGGAGCAAACGGGTCGTTTCCACTAAACGGGTCCCCAAAACCCTGGTTATTTTGGAACGGGTCGCTGCGGTCCCCGGCCCCGAGAGGCTGGAACGGGTCAGGGCCCGCGGGCGCGTCTGTGGAGGCCAGCGAGCCTACGGGCGTGCTTTCACCTGGAGGGTCAGAGAAAGGATAGTTACTGGCTACGTGGGGCGTCTCCCCCAGGGGCCCCATGTGCCACCAAGCGGGCAGGGTGAAGAGGACCCTGCGTGGGCAGGCGGGCCCTGACTCTGCTATCCCTGGTGCAGGTCCAAGCCAGGCGGGAGCCCAGGATGGGGTCCTGGTGGTGGCTCACAGTGGGGGGTCCCTGGGCTGGGCTGGGGGCTCTTAAGGCTGTGCCCGGGACCCGCAGGTCCCTGGGTGAGGCCTGTCTCTGCCGGGGGACTGTGGGCTCCCCGCTCATGAGCTGGTGCTGAGCCATCGCGAGACTGAAACCAACACCAACCGCCCTTACTTTCGGGGAAGGCGCTGAGAGGCTACGGCTGCCTCAACCGTCTCAAGCCTCACGCAGCCTGTCCCGCACGGCCACCCCCACACCCCGCACGCGGCCTGACTCACACACAGCTGGCCCCGCCAGTCCTTGGCCCCCGAGTGTCCCCATGCCACTTCCTGGCTCCCGCTAGCACTTCTGGTGACCCAGGAACAGGATGCCCCTGAGCGAAGGCTCTCATGAGATGCAGACCCCCCAAGTGCAGACGAGCCCACTGAGGCACGCAGCAGAGACGAAAGGTCATGGGACCCGACGGGAATGAGCAGACAGCTGGAGCCAGGCCAGCGTGCAGGAGCACACAGAAGCAGCAAGGCGGGTGCTGAGCCCCAAGTGCCACGGATGCTTTCCAAGGAACAGGGCTGGGGGTCCCACACGGACGCCTCAGCCACTTGGGGATCACGTGTCCCAAAGCGACCCTTCCCCCACCCCCGGCCAGGAACTTTCAGCTCCTGTTTACGGGGTGCAGGAGGGGGTGGGGTGCACGGAGGCTGAGATGGGGGCACAGCCCAGCAAAGAAAACAACAACAAGAGCCACGCTGAGGTCTGGGCCCCGCCCGCCCCACCCTGCCGCACTCAAACCACAGGCCCCACCACTGGGGCTGCCAGGCCAGGGGACCCGGGCATGCCGGGCTGCAGCTGGGCCGCAGATAAGATCTGAGCCCCAAGGCCTGGCACGGGCCTGGTGAGATTTCCCACCAGAATATTTACTGACTTTCAGAAAATGCGCTCTGCACGGGAGAGGGGAGGGGAAGCCCCCCCAGCAGTGCTGGCGACAGAGGGGGAAGGGGAGGGGGCACAGTTCTGGGTCCTGGAGGCATCCTTGGGGCCTCTGAAGAGCCAAGCTAGCAGGGAGTCCCATCCCCCCGGGGGACATGGCCAGGGCACTGGGAGCCGCTGCTGCCCTCTTACACGGGGGCCCCAGGGTGTGAGGGCGTCAGGCCCCTTGTTGGGAGCAGGGTGGGGACACTGCCCCTGCAGGACCCATCTGGCACAGCCTACTTTCTGCCTTGTCCCCGACACACCCAGAGCTGCTGGCAGGAGAGACCTCCATTTCCAAACCCACTAAAGATGCATGCACCCAACAAGGGAGGGTCTGGGGGGTGCAGGGTGGAGGCAGGGAACACACTTCTCTCTGAGCCCAGGGTCTGGGGCTCATCCATCCCTCCCAGGTGGCAGCTCCAACCCCTGCCCTTGCCTGCAGGCTCTACCACTATGTGGGAACGGAACAGCTTGGCACCAGGCAGCAGCCCTAACCACACTGCAGGAGCACGGGTGCAGGATGGGCAGGGGTGAGGGAGGTGAGCATAGGGTAGACAGGATGAGGGGGGTGGGTAAGCACAGGGGCACAGGGCGGGCAGAGCAGGGGTGAGGGGGCGAGCACAGGGTGGGCAGGGCAGGGGTGAGGGTTGTGAGAGCACAGGGCAGCCAGGGCAGGGGTGAGGGGGCAAGCAGAGGGTGGGCAGGAGGGAGGGAGGGAGGGAGTACAAGGCGGGCAGGGGTGAGGAGGCGAGCACAGGGCAGGCAAGGCAGGGGTAAGGAGGCAAGCACAGGGCGGGCAGGGGTGAGGGAGAGAGTACAAGGCGCACAGGGGTGAGGGAGCAAGCACAGGGTGGGCAGGGGTGGGGGAGCGAGTGCAAGGCAGGCAGGGGTGAGGGGGCGAGCACAGGGCGGGCAGGCTTGGCATGGGAGAATCCAGGCACTGCAGAAATCCTGTCATTCATCACCTGGGCCTGGGGGTGCCTCATGCCCTGAACCCCCAGTGCGCAGGGAGAAGGCACGTGAAGCATGCGGTGGGGGCAGCCCATGGTGCCTGGCCACACGACCAGCCTGGCCGGGGTGAGGAGGTCATGGCAAGCACTGGCCGGGGTGAAAGGTGAAAGGAAAGGTAAGGAGTGCGGAGGCTCCCGGGGAGCCCGGCTGCAGGGAGCGGCCCCGAGACTCCGTGGGCAGGAAGCGGCCAGGGTGGGGTGCAGGGGCTGGGGCCAATCACGGGTGCCCGCAGCCACTTCCTGGCTGTGAAAAAAATCTGGTTCCTCCTTCGCAGATCAACAACTTTACCTAGAAACTCGCGGGCCCGGCGGTACCTGCGGAGGCGCGGGCCAACGGCCGGTTTCAGAGGCTGTTTTGCATTTGCGGGAGGAAGCTGGCGTGCACCCCCAAACACCACCTGCCGTTTCCGCAAGCCTGATAGGCCTTTCAGCGAAGGTCTCTAGGCACAGAGGGGTCTTCGGGACCAGGGCAGGAGCAGTGCGGGGCTAGTGCCGACAGCAGGGCGCAGGCACCATCCCTGCTCTGAACGCGTGTGCCAGGTGTACATGAAACCTCCACCGGCCCCCGACACGCCAGGGCCCAATCCAGCAGGGCACACTTGGGTGCCTTGGAGGGCCGCGCCCCAAAACCACACGGCACGCAGACCACACGCCCGGAGGTGGGGGGGGGAGCCGGGCCCCACAGGCCCCGAGGGCCCCGCAGCCCTGCTGCTGGCCCTGACCTGCTCCCCCATCCCGAATGTGGGGTCACTGAGATCCCGCAGGGGTGCACAGCCTACACCGGGCTAGGAGGGAAACTGAGGCTCAGTCAGAGCCAGATCTGTGGGCGAGCAGCTGGGCAGTACGTACCGCCCAGGAGCGCGTACGGTGCGGGGCCTCTCCGGTCAGCTGCGGCTTCTGGGTGAGAGAGACACATGTGACGTCTCGCGCCACCTCACGGACGCTGCACCGCACTGTGTCCTATGGCACCCACCCTGTGCCTGACTGGTGTGCTCTGAGGGGTGTGTGCCCTGAGGGCCTGTGTGAGGGGTGTGTGTGCCCTGAGGGGGTGTGTATCTAAGGGGGGATTGTGTGCCCTGAGGGGCGTGCGTGCCTTGAGAGGTGTGTGTAATTAAGAGGGGCATGTGTGCTCTGGGGGATTTGTGTGCCCTGAGGGGTGTGTGTATCTGAGAGGGGTGTGTGTGTACCCTGAGGGGCATGTACACCTGAGGAGCGTGTGCCCTGAGGGGCGTGCTGAGGGGTGTGTGTACCCTGAGGGTGCGTGTGTCCTGGGGGCATGCGTGCCCGGAGGGTTGTGTGTACCTGAGGGGTGTGTGAGGGGCTTATGTGCAGGGGCTTGTGTGCCCCGAGGGGTGTGTATGCCCTAAGGTGTACCTGAGGGACATGTGTGCCCTGAGGAGCGTGTGTACCTGAGAAGAGCGCGCGCGCGTGTGTGTGTGTGTGTGTGTGTGTGTGTGTGTGCGCGCCGTGAGGCGTACCTGCGTGTGCATCATGCAGCCCCGTGCTTATGTGAGATTGTCACACTATGGTCACGCCCTGTGCCCAGGGCAAGCACCCCGTGACACGGGCTCCGGCTCTGAGGCCTGGGACTCGGCGCAGCAGCCCGCCCGGCACGGGGTACTGACCGCTGGGCTGCTGGGGCCGGCTTCTTCAGCGGCAGAGCGGGGGTCCTGCTTACTTTTAAAGGGTTCCTCTGAGAATGCTGTCTCGCCAGAGGAGGAGGAGAGGGGGCCAGAAGCAGGGGGCTGCAAGAGAGGCAGGAGAGAGGCATCGCGGGGTTAGTGCAGGAGGACCCCCGCCGCAGGCACCGGGGGCAGACGAGATGGAGAAGGGCAGGGGGCAGGGCGGCGCCGGGCCGGGTGCAGGCGGCAGGCATGGCATTGCCTCCCCCCAGGGTTCCCCAGGCTCGAGGTCGCACCCATCCCCACACAGTGTGGGGGCAGGAGGCTGGGGGGCACCATGCCGTGAGGTCCCCGGGAGCTGCGGGGGGCAGCCCACACCTCCTACGTCCCCCCACGCTCCCGAGGCTGCCTCTGCGGGCTGCCGTGAGGGCCGGCTCCGTGCCAGCTGGGAGCAGCAGCCTTCCCGCAGGCGGCGACTGGCTCGTGCGCACAGAAACACGGCCGCGCGCCTCACTTTCATTTCCTTCGCTGCTTTATTTACGCCCCGGGTTCTCCTCAAGCTGCTGAGAGGAAGCCAGGGCAAGGCCAGCTGGGAGCAAGGTGGGGGGCGGGAGGGGAGGACGAGGATGATAGGGGACGGGGCAGCAGGAAGGGAGGGGGTAGTGAGGGGGCTGGGAAGCAAGCTGGGGAGACAGGCAGTGGGAAGGGACGGGCAGCAGGTGGGGATGGGGCGGGGGGATGGAGGGGGCAGCAGAAGGGGGGCTGGGTAGCGGGAGGTGGGGGGACGGGAGAGCAGGGGAAAACGGGGTGGGTGGGGGGAACACTAGTACACATTCCCCTAAGCTCAGTGCCCGCAGGGACAGCCCTCGGCACGGGCCCCGTCCTGCCCCCTGCTGGCTACGCCCAGAGGCTGGCAAAGGCCCTTGTCTGCAGCCCAAAGGGTCCCCCCAGACCCGGCACCGAGAAGGCTGAGGTGGGGCCTCCTGTGGGCAGGGGGGGGTGGGGGGGGTGGTCAGCAGAGGCTGAGCCCGAGTTCAGGCTCATCAGTACCCAGCTCACCCACAGCCTTTTTTGGAACCTTCCTGGGCGCTGCGATCCCTCGTCCAGACCTCTGTCCCCTCTCCATCTCGTTCTCGCTCTCACCGCCCCACCCCACCCCACCCACTGGCCCAGAGCTGGGGGTCACGCCCAGGCAGAGGCCGAGGCTAAGGACACAGGAGTGGGCCTGGTCCACCCGGGGGGGGGGGGGGATGGGGGTCTCTGTGGAGCCGAGCCTGGGAGGCTCTAGGGCACCTGGGCCTGTGCAGTGGCAGCCGGGACCAGAAACTCTGGGCGGTGCAGGGGCAGGCGGACACACCGTGGACACGCACTGCGAACATCGCTGTGGACACACATGCCACGGCCCTTACCTGACCCATGTGGCTAAAGTCGGCGAAGCCCTCTGTACCACCAAAGGAGCTGCTTCCAAACGGGTCCAAGGCTCCGAAGGGGCCTGTGGGTAGCGTCTCAGGGTCACGATGGTGCCTCGTTACAGCCCGTGCTGGATTGGCCACCCAGATCCAGGGCCATCCCGCCAGTGCCCACCTTGTCCACCTGAGGACACCCCAGTGCCCAACATGCGGACGAAGCAGCCGCTGGGCAGCGAGCCCGCCTCACCTGAGCCTTTGGAGGAAGCTCCGGAGAAGGGATCCCTGGACTCGAAGGGGTCAGGCTGAGGAGGACCAAGGGCAGTTAGGGTGAGGGACAGGGCAAGGTGGGCGTCCAGAAGGGACGTGGCCAGAGCTGACCCAGGAACAACCAGGGCCACTGCCAGGGCCCTCGCCGGGTCCCCCCTGTGCAGAGGAGACCTCAGGGAAGAGGAACAAAGCCAGCAGGATGGGCAGCACCGGGAAGTTCCAGGCAAACTGGATCCAGTGGGCACAGGGGGGCCAAGGCGGAGAGCAGGGGGCGCGGCCAGGAGTGGCTACACTTACCTGGGCAGGTAGGGAGTGTTTGGAGAAGGGGTCGGAGGTGAACGGGTCGGTCCTGGCCTGCTTCTGGCCGAAGTCGTCGGGGACGGAGCCACGAAACGGGTCGCTCTCTCGGAAAGGGTCCCCGCCAAACGGGTCTGTGTGGGCAGAGCGTGAGGCCAGCGCCCACCCAGCCTGGGGTGCAGGGACCCCTGCCCAGCTCCTCACCTGTCGAGCTCGGTGGCTGCTCCACGAAGGGGTCGCTCTGAAACGGGTCACCTGGTGGCAGGATGGGGACAATGAGCAGTGGGCCAGGCTGGCCACACACTCCTGCCCCCGTCCCTGCCCAGTGCAAGCCCACCAATGTGTTCATGAGCACACTGGCCCGGCCCTCCTGGTCCCACCTGGGACATGGGCTGGACGCAGCCTGGGACACAGGTAGCCGCTGCCCAGGCCTCCGGGCGGCTCTGCTCAACGCTCTGATCTGGGACCCCTGGGTTTCTCTGAGCGCTGTGCCCCACCAGGGGCAAGTGTGGCCAGGGGGTGCCCCCGCTTCTGGGCTCTCAGCACAGTGCCGTGCTAGGCTTCTCAGGGCTTGCAACCCCGTGTCAAGAGTGGACAGTGAGGGGCCAGCGTGTTTGCTTGGCTTTTCGTGCAGCAAGGGGCCCACGACTCCCATGTTGAGTGGACAGTGAGGGCCAGCGTGGCTGCTGGGCTTTGGGGGCGCTGCCCTGGCAGATACCTTTGAAAGGGTCGGCGCCTTTGAAGGGGTCCGACTTGAAGGGGTCGTCGGCTTGGAAGGGGTCGGGCGGCAGCTCCCGGGCGGTGTTGCTGAACAACAGGGCTTTGTTTTTGAAAGGGTCATCCTGCAGCGTGAGAGGCGGCTGTCACCGCCCGTGCCGCGAGGCCTCAAGCTCCAGCACCGTCTACGCCTCTCCACGACGTGCCGCGACTCACCTACGGGGCCCCGAGAGCCTGGGACAGGGGGGCCAGGGACACATGGGACGGGCAGATCCTGTGGGGCTCCAGGATGGGGCGTGGGAGAGTGCCGGGGGGACGGGGGAGGGTGGAAGGTTCTGGAAGGTGGCAGGAGGCCCTTAACCAGCTGAGGCTGGTTAAGGGGTGGAGGTCTGGGACGAAGTGTCGGCACCAAGGCGAGGTTGTTTCCACCTCGCGGCTCACAAAGCGGCGCTGCTATCCGGGGAGTCCAGGGCTCCCGTGCCCATTTCCAGGGCGAAGGGCTGGGGTCAGGGGCCTCGGAGATCCACGCCCAGGGACCCACACGCTCGGGGAAGGAGGGGGCTATGGGACACAGGGAGAGGCCCCCAGGCACGCAGGGCTGAGTGGCGCTGGCAGCAGTCTCCCAGGGCGTGTGGGGAAGAGCCGGGGAGGGTTGCCAAGGGCCACTGTCAGGGCCACGGGCGCACGCGCATGGGAACAACATGGGCAGGGGTGCCCACAGGGAAGATCCCGATGCCTCCAGGCGCAGAGAAGCCCCCGCAGGGCAGGAAGAAACGGACGCTGACCCGAGCTTTCAGAACTGTATTTGTCCCAGGCCACACCGGCCTCTGTCCCACACACGGGCAGGGTCGGTCCCAGGGCTCTGCCCCGCGGGAGGCTGGGCACAAAGAAGGGCTGTGGGGGATGTGGAGCGAGGGCGGACGGCCTGACCAGTAGGGGGTGCACCCAGAAAGCAGATGCGCTGCAGACCCTGTCCACACAAGAGCACCACCCGGAGCAGTCCCGCACGTGCGCCTGGCCCCAGAGCTATAGCAAAGGCCCTGAGTGCCCGTGGGGCCGGGCAGAGCGAGCAACCCTGAGAGCGAGAACGAGAGGGAACGCGAGGTACGCGGTGAGCACCGGCCAGCAGGCAGAGGCTGTGTGCACAGCAGCACCAGAGAAAGTGCAGCCCTAGGGAGGCCCATGTCTGGCAGCCCCTCACAGAGCTGGGCAGGGCGCTAAGGGGCGCCCAGAAGCTTCCAGGGAAAGTCCCAAGCACGCCCCAGCCCCGGGGGCTCCAGATGATGGGGGCCCAGCAGATCTATGGCCATGGGCCTGGACGCCAGCCAGCCGGAGCCTCTGAGGCCGTTTGTAACTGCAGCCTGTGGCGTGATCCCAGGAGCCAGAGCAGCAGGGCCCAGGCTCTGGGGAGCAGCAGACAGACCCACCCCCCTCCGGCCCCCTGCAGGCCAGCAGCAGGCGCCCGCGCCCTACTGGACCTTTACCATGGTTCCAAAGCCCGCCCTGTCGGGGACGCCGCCCTCGCCCAGCTCTGCCCCAGGGCTCAGGCTGTCAGGCACCAAGTCCAGCTGCTCCAGGCTCCGGCGGGCCTCGTGCTGGCTGTCGTGAATCTGAGACAGCTTGTTCCTGGCCTGTGGGGCAGACAAGTGCGTCATGCCAGAGTCTGGGCCGAGCAGGGCTGGCACCATGGGCGGGGGGGAGGGGCAGGACCGGGGCCCCTGCAGCCACAGCACCTGGACTATCTCATCCTGTGTAGCCTGCAGAGAGCGAAGGATGGTCTCCAGCTGCGCGCGCCCCGCCTGGATGCTCTGCTCCAGCTGTGCCTCCTCCTGCTGCAGCCGCGCCAGCTCCGACCGCGCCCGGTTCACGTCGTCCTCTTGCGACTTGAGGTCTGACTCCTGCGACTGGATCTGGGTCTTCAGGGAGGAGATCTGCGGGGGACAGTGGTGTGACCCTGGGCCCGTCCGTTCTTGTTCCCCACCCTGGTCACCTCCAGGCTTGCCTCAAGCTACTCAGACAACCAAGCCCCCCAGAACCCCCACAGAAAGGCCCGGACGTGCTCTGGGGCCCAGGCTCCCTCAGGAGGCAGGGGTGTGGCGAACCGTCTGTGTCTCCTCCTGGCACTTGCGCCGCACGTCTCCCAGCATGCCCCGCAGTTTGGCCTTCTGCTGGTCCATCTCATCCAGGCGGCCCTGCGCTTCCTGCTTCTGTGCCTCTAGCTCCTGCAGGCCACTTGCCTCCCGGTCTAGGTCCTTCTGCAACTCCTGGAGGAAGGGTTTGGTGACTGCCAGCCAGGGCAGCAAAGCCCCACAGTGACCATCACCCGGATTCGCAGAAAGAGAGGACAGACAGGAAAAACAGCACGTGGAAAGACAGAGGGTCACACGGAGCGGGATCCTGGGCAGAGACCGCACTGAGAGAGGGCCACAGGGGCAGGGACCCCTGCGTGCTTGGAGACATCACTGGGTCACGGGGTGGGGTGCTGGTGAGTCTGAGTGGAGCCAACAGGGCAAAGGGAGAGTAGACTTGAGTGCGGGGGAGTCTGGCCTTGTGGTACTCAAATGTCCCCACAAAAAGACCCATGATGGGTAGGGCATTTGCCTTGCATGTGGCCGACCCGGGTTCGATTCCCAGCATCCCATATGGTCCCCTGAGCACCGCCAGGAGTAACTCCTGAGTTCAGAGCCAGGAGTAACCCCTGTGCATCGCCAGGTGTGACCCAAAAAGAAAAAAAAAAAAAAAGACCGATGATGGGGTGTAGCAGCAGGACAGTGCCTAGGTCATCCACAGGCTTTCGCAGAACCAGCACCAAGGGCCCCAGACCCACTGCCACATAGATGCCAGGACCTCCAGGGGTGAAGGACCCTAGACCCACTGCTACACAGATGTCCAGACCTCCGGGGGTGAAGAGCTTCACCAAACCGGGTTGGCCAGGCGAAAGAGGTGGTTAACCCCCATACCAGGGCCTCTAGACAGAGATGCACGCCCAAAGGCAAATGCGTGAAGGGGTCCTGAGAGATACCGACAGATGCAGAGAGCAAGAGCACAAAGGGAAGAAAGCACTTGGTCCCCATGGGGAATGGGAGGGACACCGGCTAGCGGCACTGCACAGACTAGTCACGCAACGCAGCTGGAGGCCCCTGCACAGTCCCAGTCCAGGTAGCAGCAAGGCTGAGCCCCCATGCACATGCGCTCGGCAGGCCCTCCTTTGCTCCGCCCCCAGCACTGCGGTTCTTCCTCATGGAACAAGGTGGAGCATAACGTGTCCTAGCAAAGGGCCCCAGGAAAGACAGGAAACGGCCGAACATGCCCCTTCCAGGCAAAGGGGCTGAGAACCAGACTGTTCCCGCAAAAGGGCTAACCACGCGCCATGTGAACGCAGGAATTTAACACAGGTGCTCCACCTCCAGGACAGTCAAGGGAGGGTCAGAGCCTTGGAGTCCCGCCTCCCAGGGGCCCAGCCAATCCATCCCACCCGCTGTCAGCCCGCCTCCCTCCAGCCAATCCGCTCCGCCCACCCCAGGAGCACCAAGGACCCCCTCTCACCTGAACCTCAGAGGTCTTCTGCCTGATGGCCTCCTCTTTTTCCCGGATGTCCTGTTCCAGGGATTGCTTCTCTCTGCGGGTCCAGACCATGCAGTATGAGGGCGGCTGCTCACACACAGTGGGGCAAGAATCCAGCCGACTCCAGGGACCCACTGTCCCACCCTTGTGGGTATGGAAGTGGGGGACACGAGCACCACACCTCAGCCGCAGACCGTCAGGGGAAGTGGAGCAGTCCTGGGACGAGGGGCCCAGGCCTGCACCTACAGCAGGACTGCCCCCTTCTCGTGACCGGAAAGACAGATCAGTGGGGACGGCGCTTGCCTTGATTCCAGCAAACACGGGCTGGATCCCTGGCATCCTATAAGATTTCCCGAGCACTGCCAGGAGTAACCCCTGAACACCACCAGGTGAGGCCCAACTCCCCTCTCCAAAAAACCCTGAAAAACAAAAACTGTCCCAAGCCCTGCCCTTCCTGGGGCATCTCACCCATGACTCCACCTTTACCCAGAGGTGCTAGGGGCCCCAAAGAGTTTATTTCGAGGGATTCGAGGGGAAGGACTGGGAAGGGATGGAAAGAAAAAGAGAAAAGAGGAAAAAGGGCCAGAGTGATAGTATACACACAGCCAACCCGGGTTTGATTCCCGGTACCACAGGGTCCCCTCAAGCCCCACCAGTAATGATTACTGAATGCAGAGGCAGGAGTAGCCCCTGTACACTGTGGGGGTGTGGCCCCCAAAATAAAACAAAGCTCCCCAGCTTCAGAGTGGTGGTATGTTAAAAAAAGAAAAAAGTTACTCGACAGTGTAGGACCCCACCCAGACCAGGGAGAGCGTAAGCGCAATGGGGTCCCTGCCCAGGCCCAGGTTCCCCACGCACATACCGCTGCAGCTGGGCAATCTCCTGGCTGATGTCATCCAGTTCTGCCACTCCCGTCAGCTCTGCGGAGCCCAGGGTGCCGGAGCTGTCCTGGAAGCAGGGCCAAGCCAGCGTCAGTGGTGGGGGTTGGGGGCTGGACCAGGTCTGCGAGCCAGCGGCGCCACCTGGTGGTGGGCTTAGGAAGGGCATGCCGGGCAGAGGGGCCAGGACTCACCGGGCCTGGGGTACCCCTCTCTGAGGGTGGGATCATGTCTGGGGAGAGGACCTGTGGAGGGTCCAGGCCTCTGCTGACCTTCTGCTGGATCAAGTGCATGGCCAGGGCAAACTGCTCCTGGCTGAGCTTCCCCGTCTGCCGGGTGTCCGCCAGGGCCCTGGGGAAAGACGGTGGCTCCAGGGCAGCGGGGCGGAGGCGCCACAGCTCCAGCCCCTGCTGCCACCCGGCCACCCGCAGTACCAGATGTGGGCCAGCAGGCTCTGCGGAAGCCCCGAGTGCAGAAAGATGTCCTTGGCCTCCTGGCCACTCACGTAGCCGTCAAGGTCGAGGTCAGTCTTCAGGAAGATCTCGTCGAAGCGCAGCTTGTCGGCCACGGGAACCACCCAGCTGACGGGAGGCTGCAACGGGTCCCTACCTCAGGACCACAGCCAGCACCCCCAGGGCCCTGTTCCTGGCCTACACTCCTCCAGCTGCCCGGAGGCGCCCCCAACAGGGTTCCAGTGGAAGTGGCCGAGGCCAGTGGGGGACCCGAGGGGGGAGGGGGCCAGAGCCACACCGGATTCAGCGGTTGCCACTGACAGAGGCCACCGTCCCAGGGTCCACCTCCTGGCAGGGGGCTACGGGTGTGTGAGCTGGGGGTCCGGGCAGAACCTCGTACCTGCGTGGGTTTGAGGCCGGGCTTCGGGGACAGGCTGCCTGCACTGTTGAGGCTGCTGACGCTGCCGTGGGAGGGCGTGGAGCGCAGGCTGTCCCTCGGTGGCGGGCTGGCAGGCAGCACGGGCACGGCGCCCACAAATACCGACTTCTTCCTCTTGGCGGGAGGGATGAGGGAGGGTGGCAGCACAGCGGGCACCGGCTCCTTCTCCAGGGCGCGGTAGACCAGGTGCATGGCCTGCAGGAGACCAGGTGAGCGGGGGTGCACGCATGGGCCCCACCCTCCCCGGTGCCAGGCCTACGTACCACCGCAAACTCGCCTCTGTCCAGGTGCCCGTCCTTGTCGATGTCACTCAGGTCCCAGACCTGTGGGGCACAAGCCAGATGGTCAGCGCTCGGGATCTGAGAGTGAGCTGCACTCCAGCACAGCAGAGACGCTGGTGGGCGACTCTCAGAGTGAGCACATGTGCACATGAGTGAGCGTGTATACACAAGTGTGAACATACATGCACTGAGGTGTGCATGACTGTGTAAATGTCAAGGCAAGTATGAGCGTGAGTGTGCACAACAGCGTATGCAAACATGGATGTGCGTGAGCCTATCTAAGCACAAGTGCCCACAAGCTGCGTGGGCACTTGTATGCATGAATGTGCGTACCTGAGCTCAAGCAATGCTTCCACGTGAATGAGAGCAGCCCAGGCCTGCCCACACCCTCAGCCGTCCGATACTCTGACGCCAGGCCGCTATGAGGGACAGAGGGTCCCTGAGAGGACCCCAGGCACACAGGCAGGGGCGTGGCAGGAGCTGGGGGTAGTGTGCACAGCACTCACCCTGCCCAGCACATCCAGGGGCAGCTTGGAGTTCATGAGCACAGGCTTGACCTTGTCCCCCGAGAGCAGCCCGTTGACAGGGAGGAGGCTCTCGAAGATGCCATCGAACTTGGCCTTCTCCTCCACCTGGCCAGAGAGCCAAGAAGATACTGAGTGGGCGGGCACCAGGCAGGGGCTCGGTCCAAGGGCCCATGTGACGGACGCAGGGCCGAGGCCACAGCAGTCCTCAGTGAGGCTTGGCCTCCCGCAGCCACTGACCGCACCGCCAGGCAGGTCCGACAGTGCAGGGCTTGGGGCCCCCAGGGTGTCAGGGACGGACCAGAGTGTGACCAAATACAGGTCACACATGAAGCTATTTAAACTGTGGTGACTATGCCACGGAAACTCTATTACTAAACTATCTCTGACGTAACAAATAGACAGAACCCTTGTGAAACATGTTAAGGTTGGAGTCTCCGGCACACACACGTGCAGAGGAACCAGCTGGCGGGGCAGGAAGGGGGGTCTCAGGGGGTAGCTCCTTACCCTCACGGCCCAGTGGGGCTCTGTGGACGGCTGCGCGGTCATCAGGGGGCTGGTGCTCTCATGCTGCAGAGGGTCAGGCGCAGGGCAAGAGCCTCAGGGGGTGCCCATCCTGCAGCACCCACCCTCCCGTGCGGGGCACCAGCCAGGCCACGAGGGCTGGGGAAGGCTTCCAACTAGAGCCTGCAGGTCACAAGGATGGAGACTCTCTGGGGCCCCCCAAATGTGGGGGGATGGGGAAGCAAGGGGGTACAGGGCTGCAGCCTTGGGTGTGGACAGGCTGGAACCACATGGCCGCACCGGCGCCTGGTACTCACAAACTTGGGTGGCGGCACGCTCAGGCCCAGGCTGCTCACACTCACGTCGTGGCCGCTCTGCGCACAGGCCACCAGGCGCAGGGCCACGTAGAAGCCCTGCGGGGAAGATGGGCGTCTCAGCCTCAGTCCTGTGGCCCCCATCCCGGGAGGGGGCTACAAGCCAGGCGACCACAGAGACGCCAGTCAGAAGGGGTGCTCACGGAGTACCAGGGCATGTACCTGCTTGTCCAAGAAGCCGTGGCCGTCAGGGTCTGCCAGGTCCCAGATCTGCACAGACAAGGATGGGGACAGGGACAAGGACAACAGTGTCAGCAGCACAGCGGCGCCAGCATGCCCCCCCCTCCACTGGCAGTGGTCCCCCGCACCTTCCCCAGGACGGCGTCTGAGAGCCCAGAGCGTTTCAGGAACAACGCAGCCTCACTTGCCCCAACACGACCAGTGGAGCTGGGGTCCACCTGCAGAGGGGAGCACAGCGGTCAGCCAGGGTGGGGGCACAGGGGCAGGGCCAGCCCGCAGCTTACCTGCTTGTAGTAGGACTCATACAGCGGGTTCCCGGGGGGTATCTGTGGGCAGAGAAGGGGGGGTGGGTGGCTCAGACAATCCCCAGCAGGGCCCAAGGGACAAGGCCTGGTCCAGGCGCCGAGTCCAGGGTCCCAGACCGCAGAGGAGCACGGGCAAGCGTGGCAGCAGGGGACTCGGGGCCGGTCAGCGGGCTAAGGGGAGCTGGTGAGCCCAGCCTGGGTGCTGGAGGTGTGGGGCCACCTCCCCAGGTCCCAAGCCAGTGTGGATACGGTGGACAGGGAAAGGGGCAGCCCCCTGGCTCTCCTCTGGCCTCGGCCATCTCTGGGGGAGCCCCACAGGGCCCTTGGCCTCTGCCCTTCTGTCCGGGGGAGCTGACTCACGGCCCACGCCTAACCCCGGCACAGGGCAGGAGACTGAGGTGCAAAATGATCATCACCGGGAAACACATCCAGAGCTGCGGGGGCAGAGGAGCTGGGCAGGGGCCAGCCCTTGCTCTGGGGGGGTCCTGACCCTGGGCACCCCAGCGGGCACGCCCTGTAGCTCTGGGAGGATACAGGAAGGGAAGGACCCCAGCCCCCGCGAGAGGAGCAGCCTGCTCCACTTCCCTGCCACGGTGCCAGTCCCTCACGCAACTCTGGCCTGGCCGGACCACCGTCTGGGGCCCGTCCCCGCACCGCGTGCGGCCAGTCAGGCGGCCAGTGCGGGGCCGAGGACGTGCAGCGGGCGCGTCCCCACGTGGCCCGGGACCCCCGGGGTCACCTCCCGCGGGGCGCGGCGACCTTGCGAGTCCCGGCAGCGGTGCAGAATGAATGAACGCAGCGACCCGCAGTGGGGACAACCGGGCCGAGGCGGGGACGGCGGGGGGTCAGCGGGGAACAGCCAGGCCGCGGCGGGGACAGCGGGGCACGGCGGGTCACAGCAGGGCGGCGCCGGGTGGGCCGGGGGAGCCGGTGGTGGGTCCTGAGTCCCCGCGGGAACAAAGACGCGCCGGGCCACCCGCCCCCCCCTCATCCCGCACATCAGGCCCGCCCCGAGCGGCCGAGGCCGCGCGGCCAGCACCACGCGCTGCCCCACCGCGGGCCCCCGACCCCTCACCCCGAGGCCCTGGTCCCCGGGCCCTCACCCCGCGGCCCCCGCACCCGGCGCCACGCCGCCGCACCCTGCATCCCGCGGTCCCCCTGCATCCCGCGGCCCCCCGGGTCCCGAGCTCCCACGACCCCCCGGCCCCAGCACCCCGCCGCGGCCCTACCTGCTGCGTGAGAGGGACGAGCGGGGCCGCCATCTTCCCGCAGGTCCAGCTCTCAGCGGCGGGGGCGGGGCCGCGCGTGCGCGCTGGGGCGGGGCGAAGGCGCGCCGCGCATGCCCAGTGGGGTCCGGGGCGGGGTCGAGGGCCGCACCGTTCGCACAGGCCGGGCGGGCGAAACTTGACAGGGGGCGTGACTCGGGGGCGGGGCCGCGGCGGGGGCGGGGCCCTGCGGCACCTGCAGCTGGTCACCCGCCCCTCCCGCAGGGCAGCGTGCTCCGCGCATTGGCGCTCAGCAGCGGAACCAGTGTGCGTTCTCTGAGTTGTGTGTGCAGGTCTGCGTGTCAGGACTGGAGTCGGGGCTCCGTGTACAATAACCGTGGCCATTAGCCCCTCTGCAATGGCCGCGGCAGCTGTCCAGCCTCGAAAGGAGCCTCTCTGCCCACCTCCGCCTCCTGCACGCACAAGGTGCAGTTGGCTGTGAAGTCCTCGGCCCTTCCCACCTACAGAGGCTGATCACGGCCAGTCTGCGGGAGTCCCTGCAGGTGAGTTCGGGGGGGGGGTGCAGTCTGTCCACGCATCTTCTTGGTTCTTACAGGCCCTTCCTGGTCCTCAGCTGCGCCCGCCTTGGGTACCGGGGCTCTAGCGGGGTGAGGGGTATGGTCTGGTACAGAAAGCCCAGGGCTGGATCTGTACAGAGGGCGGGTCCGCATGGTGGGTCTACACTGGGGGCAGACTCTGAAGCTCAGGTCAGGTGGGGCTTAGGCTCACGGCACTCACCCTGGCCACAGGAAGTACAAACACTGATTCAGGGTCCCAGTCCCAGACTCAGCTCCCCCAGAGAACACTGTGTGGTGGAGGTATCCGGCAGGAGTGATGAGCAGCAGGGAACAGATGCCACAAGACAAGGTGGGGCTGTTGTATACAGGAGCCCAGGGGCTATCACCAGCACTCACTGGGAGCACCAGGAGTGGTTCCTGGACACCTCAGCTGTGGCCACACAACAATAAAACTGGGGTCTGTTGGCCAGAGATTCTGTCCCTTGGAGGCGGTGTCGGCAAAGAAGACGACGGGACAAGTGAGGGCACCAGACCAGCTTTTATGCTCCTTCCCCTTGTCCGGCTACAGCTCGCCCCTGCGGTGGAACCCACGGAACTGGCCTTGCCTGGCCAGTGGCAGCTCCGCCTCCTCCAGCTCCCGGGCCAGCTTCACCTCCTCCTTTGCCTGGACATCATCCATCTCCTTCTCGGGGCCCTGGAGCAAGAGCAGATGGCCCTGAGCGGGGGGGCCCAGCAGGCCTCCTTCATGTACTCGATGCAGGGACCTTTGCTGCTATGCAGGGTGGACATAGCACCAGGTATTTGGGTGCTCCCAAAACCCACAGCCTCCGTGAGCATCTGTGTGGGCCCTTAGAAAGTCCAGCACCACAGCAGGGCTCTGCGGCTACCCCTAGGAACCGGAGTCAGCTGGGATCCCGTCTGCCCGCACCTTGCACCTCGTGGTGCATGCGCGCATGTACAACTGCAAGCTGGGGGAGGGTTGTGTGCGAGTCACTGCGTGCTGGGGGATCATGCATGAGTGACTGCGTGAAGACGGGGGTGCATGCGTGCACACTTGACTACATGGTGATGGCTACATCTGTCACTGCGTGCTCTGATTGCATATGAGCAAGGGGTCTGCGTGCACATGTGACTGCACGCTGGGAGCTGTGCCTGAGGCAGGAAGGGGGGACACGCCTGACACGCCGATGGGGATGCACACCTGAAAGCTGGGGACACAGGCTGGCAGACCTGCAGCTCCACCGCCACTGCCGCGGCCACACAGCAGGGCTGTGGATGGCGGGGAGGAGGAGTTGTGGCCTGGAGAGGGTGATGGGCGCTCGGCAGTGTGCAAGTCCCGAGATCTGGGGGAGCCCTGGGTGGGCTTTGCCGGATTTACCCCACTGTCAGTCTGACATCCAAGGGACGCCATACACCTCCACATCCCAGAGGCCACAAACCAGAAGCAACCAGAAGGAACAGCATCAAAGCAGAAGGACTTTTGGAATATTCTTTCAAAATTCTTTTTCGGTTTTCTGGCCACATCTGGTGGTGCTCAGTGGTTACTCGTGGCTCTGTGCTCAGGGATCTCTTGGTCTCACCCCATGTGGCTTCCTGCTCCCACACCTGGGCACACCTTGGTTCACTGCACATGGCCCCCACACCTGGACGAACCTTGGTCTCACCCCACGTGGCCTTGCCAAACTTCTCAGCATATTCTTCGTCATCTGTGATCAGGAAGTTATCGAAGATGGTTCCGGACCTCACCTGCAGGAAAAAGGTGACAGGAAATAACTTCCCGCCAGGGCATGCTTAACCTGTCTCGGGCCTTCTAGAATGTTCCTTCAATCCTGGGCCCAATTGGGACCATGTCTAAGAGTGCAGAGAGGTGGAGTCTCTTGGCAGCAACAGAGGGCATGGTGGGGGTTAGAGGTTTGGAGCCCCCGGGCGGGGGTCCATGTGGGCCCTGGCCACCCTGCCGGCCGAGGACACACTGGAAGCACTAGGGCCCTTCTGGGGACCGCACCCTCCCTCTGTTGTACAAGGACAGGACCTGCCAAAGCTCCAGGCCGATGGCGCCAATGTTCTCAAATTCTGAGAGGTCGTACTCCGTCAAGTAGTTGGTGTTCTTCAGCTTGTGATGGAGCCAGACGTCATTGTTGATCCCCTTGGCTTTCAGGCCGTCCTGCGACAGCCAAGTGAACACAGTGGGCTGGGGTGTGGGCTGGGTGCCGGGGGCAGGGCCAATGCTGGGGTGGGGCCTGGGCTGGGCGGGGTCAGGGGCGGGGGAGCCAGCAGTGGCCACGCACCTGGTAGGGTGGTTTCTGCAGCAGCGGAGCCTGCAAGTCCCCGTCCAACTTGCTGTTCCAGTCGCTGGGCGCACTGGGCCCAGCATCCAAAAACTGCTTATCCCAATCCTACCAATATGGGTGAGAAACAAGCTGTGAGACTCGGAGGTCAGCACTAGAAACACTGGCACCAAAGGGGCTGTTAGGGAGGGTGCTCAGGGGTGGGGGAGAGGCATAGGTGGGGGCGCAGGGCACAGGGGTCAGGGGACACAGATGTGGGGTGTGGACAGGGCGGGGGCTGGGCTGCACCTGCTCCCATCTCTGTGGTTCTGTTTGTGTCTTCTTAGCCGCTGATTTCAGGGACTCAAGGTTCCAGTCATACTCAATGTCGCCCGACTCGGCCACTTGCCCATCGATGCGCACCTCATATGAGAGGTCGGGCCTGAGCACCAGAGTGTAGAGGTGTGTAAAGCCGTCCACCTGTGCCAGGGCGTGACCAGGTAAGACCCTCAGACAGAAGCCCTGTGCATAGGGCTATGAGTGCAGCAGAGGGCATGTGGCAACCCCCGCAGGGGCCAGCTGGAGCAGGTCGAGTCCTCCCAGGCTCCTAATTTGCCTGTGCCTGGAGAACTGGGTTCTGGCCCAGACCTACTACAGCCTCGTCCACACCTGCATGTGGACCTGAGTCTGCAGCAGCACCTACACTCATCCCATTACTCACATCAACACCTGCCTCCACACCTACACCTGCACCTGCATCCACATCTGTATCTACACCTGCACCTGCATCCACACCTGCACCTACATCTGCATCCACACCTGCACCTGCATCCACACCTGCACCTGCATCCACACCTGTACCTGCATCCACACCTGTACCTGCATCCACACCTGTATCTACATCCACACCTGCATCCAGCCTGCACCTACATCCGCACCTGCATCCAACCTGCACCCGCATCCACACCTGTATCTACATCCGCACCTGCATCCACACCTGCAACTACATCTGCACCTGCATCCACACCTGTACCAACACCTGCACCTACATCTGCACCTGCACCTAACATCTGCACCCACACCCAAATCAACCTGCACAGCACTTGTGTTCACACATGATCCGCACCTGGACATGTACCTACATCCATATTTGTACCAGTATCCATACCTACACTCATACCCACACCCACACCTGCACACACACCCACATACCTGTACCCATACCTGCACCTACCTGCACCCACACCCATACCCACACCCACACATACACCTGCACATACCTACACCCACACACCTGTACCCACAGCCTCACCTATACCTGCATTTACACCTGCACCCACCCCCACAACTATACATCACCCACATGTGCACCCCACTTGCACCCACAGCACCCACACTCATATCTGCACCCACCTGCATCCACACCTACACCTACACCCGCACCCACATCTATATCTATGCTCGAACCTGCACCACACCTCTGCTCACACTTGATCCACACCTGTACACATGCCTGTACCAACTCTGCACCCACACCGGGGTGACTGTACAAGGGGGACAAACGCCACTAGAAAGCCAGTGGCAGTAGTGTCCCAGATCTGTGTGGCTGGCCGCTGGGCACTGTAGCTCAGCTCACCACAGAAGGAAACAAGGGCATCTAAACCTTCAGGCCCTGGCAGGGCCAATGGCAGACTCATACCTTACACCTGATTGTCTTTTTGTTTGAATGATACTGATTCTTGAAATGCAAAATAACGTGGACTTTCGTGACATCAAATCCACAAATATCGGGTCCTACAAGAAAAGCGGTAGCTCTGCTCAATTTTCTCCCACAAACTAGGCCCGTTGGACACCCACTACCATTCTTGTGTGAGAGGCGGGTGCTGGGCAAGGTCAGACTCGAGCACGGCCACACCGGAATGGTACACAGTGCCCATCTGGGCACAAAGGGAGACTGTCAGCTTCACAAAGCAGGTCTGGGCACAGAAAATGGCCAAATACCAGCCCCAGGTCACCGTGAGTGAACTCAGAAGCGCCGCAGATGATGAGGCCCAGGGGTGGCTGGGGGACATGGGCAGTAGGAACTAATCAGTCTGAGAAGTCCCAACACACCAGACAAGGCTGGCAGGAGAGAGCTGTGGCCTTAGTTCACAGTAGTCCAGCCCTCACCTGTGACCTGCAGGATTTCCCCCAGACCCCCCTCATGCCTACGGGGACATGTCCACCCTGCACCACCTCCCAGACCGGCCCACCGAACATGATGTAGTACTGCGAGTTCCGGTTGAGCTGCTTCTGGTCCAGGTGGGAGGGAAAGACCTTGATGTAGCCACCCCCACAGTCCATCTTCTGCTCGTGCTTCACCGTGTACTGCAGCACCAGAGTCCGCCCCTTGTTGCTGAACGGCCGGAAGCGTGCTGAGATGGCATAGAAGCGGCTGTTCTGTGTGGTCTGCAGCCCTGCAAGCAGACTCGGGGCTCAGGAGATGCCCCTGCACTCCCCAGGGCCCGGAAGCTGGCTCCCACCCAGACCAGCATGCAGGTGGAGGCTGGGCCGCTCCTGGCTCTGCTTGACTGGACCCTATTCGGTGCTGGGGTCGGCCACACCCATGTAAGGCAAGTGCCCCCTGAACCACCACCTCATGACCCTGTGGTTGGTGTGGGGCCTGTCTGGTGTGTCATAGGTGGCTTTGTGGGTGTGTGGGGGACCATACCACATGGTGCCAGAGCTGACTCCTGGCTCTCTGTTTAGGGCTGAGTCTTGGCCAGGCTATGGGGAACTCTATGTGGTGTCGTAGACCAAACCTGGGTCAGCCACGTTCAAAGCAAATGCCTTAACCCCTGTACTATCTCTCGCTTTTTAAATTTTTTTGTTGGTGCTGGTGGGTGGGGGAGGGTTGGCCACACCCACTAGTGCTCAGGGAGCATTCCTGGCAGGCTCTAGGGATCGACCATATGGGGTGCTGGGGATCAAACCCAGGTCAGCAAGGCAAATGTTTTGTACTAAGTACTTATTACTTAGTACTCGCTGTACTAGCGCTGCGGCTCCTTCTTTTTTTTTTTTTTTGGTAAAGATTTGTTAGGCCCACTGGGTGGTGCTAAGTCTATAGCTCCTGACTGCCTGACAGCAGCAGACCACACAGCACCACCGCGCACACACACACCTTCTGCTCATGCCAGCCGCCCCTGAGATATGTGTAAGTCTGGAGAAGGATCTGAGAGATGGGGCAGGGGACATGCCTGCACGAGGATCTGTCCAGAGACAGATCAAAAGGAAACCCAGAGGTACTGCAAACCCGCCCATGCCTCGGTTTCCCCACACGCACCCGCGCCCACCTTTGTCTTTCTCTTTGTGGCCGTAGAACTTGCCCGACGAGAGTCGGAAGTGCCCGAAGCCGGAGTCATTGGTGGACTGCACCCAGCGGTTCCTCCAGCGCTCTGTGCGGGGGTGACAGGGGGCGGGTCAGGGCGGCCGAGGGGGTCCCCGGCGGCGCGGCCCCGGCAGCCCCTTTACCTCCATCCAGGAACTCCTCCTGAAAGTAGACGGTGGCCAGCGCCACGCGCAGCACGCAGAGGGCACATAAGGCGACGCGAGGCGGGGCCATGCACGTGACCCTGACCTGGAACCCCCCCCTTCTCCAAACTACAAATCCCGGCAGACCCCGCTCGCCGACTCCCCGGCCCTGAACTACGACTCCCGTCAGGCACCGTGATTGTGACCCTGAGGAGCCCTGGGTCCCAGGCCCTGAACTACGACTCCCGACAGGGCCCGCGATTGTGACCGTGCGGCCCTCATGAGCCCGAGGGCGCGATGCATGCCGGGAGATGTGGTCTTCTACGCTTTGGCGCGGTTGCCCGGGCAACGGGCGGCTCCGGGCCTGAGCGCCTGGCTGGGATCGCGGCTGCAGCACTGGCGCATGAATTGGACCGTGTGGGCGAAGGTCGGCGAGGTTCGGGAGAGACGCTTCCACCCGAGGCTGAGCAGGTCGGAAGGGCGGCTCGCGCCTGTTTTCTCGTTGGGATGCCCCTTAAGGGTGTTGTGCGTGCGCTGGAGTCATTGCAGGCCTGGTGGGAGTGCCCTGCGGGGCGCCAGTGTTGGGTTCGTTTCATTGGCTTTAAAGCGTTTTCTTGGGGCGGGGGTCCTTGCCTTGCCTCCCAACCCTCTTTTCAGGTACTTTCGAAGGGTGCAGAGCTGACTGATTGCAGGCTCGGGCGCACTCTCTCCATACGTGCCCTGGGCTATGTCATTTAGAAGGATTTGACAGCGCATGACGTCAGAGGTGTGGCGTGCGTGTGACGTCATGCATGTCGTGCTTACCTTCCTTCTGCCGAGTCCAGAGGGTTAAGTGCGTGAATCCCTGTTCCCGCGTTTTAGTCTTTCACGAGCCCCTCCCACTTTTCTGGTTTGGGAATTGTGTTGGGTTTGGGGGAGCCACACACCCTGGATCTAGGGACGGAACCCTGAGCTTCCGCAGGTTGACCCTCTTCTGGCACCACCAGCGATGTTTTTAATGGGGGCTACCTCCAGGGAGGTGGGGTTGCACTTGGGGTCTCGCGTGTGCCAGGCACTTTCTCGTGCTGCTCCCTGTGATTTTCTTACTTTGGTTTTCGGGCCACACCCTGCAGTGCTGGGACACCCTGAGTGGGGGGAGGGACCCCGGCTCCCGCCGGCAAGGCTCTGAGCGCCCCTTCCTTGGTGCCCGCAGCTCTTGGGTTCCCCGGGAGCTTACAGGGTGGGTCTGAGCCGCCCCCCGCGCCCTCCAGCTCCAGATTGGCTCGGATAAGCCCCGCTGGCTTGTGGGGCCCCATGTGTGACCCTCCACCAACGGCTGTAACCGCACACTTTGCGCTCCCAACCCCCGACAGGAGCTGCCTTTGGGCCCTTTCTCCAGAGCCCGGGTCGGGGCGAGTGAGTGGCAGAGGAACACCAAGCAGGGCCTCTGAGCAGTGCGTACAGTAGTGGGGTTCCCCCCCAGCCCAGCCCGCTCCAGCCCCCTGCAGAGAGGTGAGAATTTGGTGGGGGCCCCCGGTCCGGGCTCTGACACACCCCCCGTCCCGTGCCCGACACGCGTCTCTCCAGGGGAGGAGGCTTGGGGTTCTGGGTTCATCCCCGAGTTTCCTCGGGGCAGGGCCGGGGTCTGGGCGCAGGCGCGCGCGTGCGCAGGGCCCGGGAGGGTTCGGGGCAGGGGCTGTGCGGGGGGGGCGGGGCGGAGCTGGGGGCTGTCACCCGCCTTGGCCTGATCGGGTGCCTGCCCCGCCCTAGGATGGCTTCAGCCCGGCCAGCGGGGCGCGGGGGATCCCGGGAGGACCCGCCGCTGGATCTGCTGCGACACCTGAGCCTAGGCCGGAGTCTCGCCCCCGTCACGCAGGGCCAGAGCCGATTCCTGATCCAGCGCCCCGCGGGAGTCCCGGAGCCGGAGCCGGGGACCCGGCCCCCCGCGTCCACCCTGCGTGCCCAGGCAGCGCTCTCCAGACTGGCGCGCCTCGAGGGTCGGCTGCGGAGTCGGCGGGCACCCCCCTCGGGCCCCGGCAACCCCACCTCCAGGGACAGCCAGCCCAGCAGCGCCGCCTGGAGCAGGGCCGGGAGCCCCGACTCCCCAGCGCCGGGAGCAACCGGGGGCCAGCCAGGACTCAGGTTCCTGAAGAAGCGCGGGCCCTCAGCCGCGGGAGCACCCCCTGCAGCACCCCTGGCGAGGTCCAGCTCAGCGACCCCAGCATCCCAGGGCTCCCCAGACAGCTCAGCGACCCCAGCACCCAGGGGTTCTCCAGACAGCGATGATGAGGAAGTGAGGGAGCTACTTGGGGAGCTGACAGATTCGTGCAGAGAAAAGGAGGCGCCGGGAACGAGACTTTCGGTGAGTGCCCCAGGTCCTGTATATGAGGGGTCTTGCCCCAGACCCCACTTAGCCACTGACAGCTGTGTTCCCAGACTGGGGAAGTGACATCTGCCCACAGCCCTGAGCCCACTCGGGCCTGCTGTGGGGGTACATGTGTGCCTGTGTATTGTGTGGTGTGTGTGTTCGTGTGTACCTGTATCTGTGTTGGTGTGTCTGTGTGTATCTGTGTCCATGTGTCCATGTGTGTGACCGTGTGTCTGTGTCTGTGTGTCCAGCTGTGTTAGGGGTGATTTCCACCTTTTCCACCTGTGAAAACCTGCTGCTTCAAGAATACCCAACTTCTCCGAAGGCGGGCAGTGGGTACCGATTCGGGGGTAGGGGGGTCCAGCCTCCAGACCTCTGACGTCTGACCTCTCTGCTTAAGCAGGGCCATAGCCCAGCAGAGTCCGAAGCCCGACCACGGGATGACCGGCAGCCCCCCAGCCCTGCTGCTCCTGCCTCCCCGCCCATCCTGGGCTCAGGGACCCCATATGCTCCCCACCGGCAGGCGTCTGCCCCCAGCTCACCATCGCTCTCCGATCCTGTTCCTTTCTCTGGGGTGGAAGCCCCTCAGGGCAGTGTGGCCGAGCCCCTGGACACGTCCCTGGCTGAGGACTCTCAGAACAGCCATGGTGAGTGGGTGGGGGATACAGCGCATTCATTCCGTCACCCCTGGGCCTTCTTCCAATCCCCCACCCTGTGGGAAAGGAAGCTTAGTGCAGGGGGCATCTCAGGGGCTGCTACAGGGGCTGAACCCATCACTGGGCACCACAGGAGAGGCCCCCTGAAATGTGAACATGAAAGTGAGTGGGAGCAAACTCAGGGGGCCCTGGAGACACAGTCTGCAGAGGCTACCCCAGTCCCCCCACCTTGTTCCCAGAGTGGAGCAAGGGACAAATCCACTGTACTGGTCTCCACAGATTTCTGCGTCCACATCTTGTCCCTGAGTGACCTGCAATCCAGCAGCCCGCAGGTGAGGGGGAAGCCATGGGACACCTGACGGGACTTCGTTTTGTGTCCCGGGTGGGGGCATCTGCACATTGGGACCATCCAGGCTGGGGCAGGGTAAGGCCCTGGTGGGCAACAACCTCGGAGCTAAATCCACAGACATGGAGGGCGCCCCCCTCCGCCTGTGGGTGGGGAGGGCAACCCCGCATCCCGGTTTCAGGACGCAGCCGGCTTGGAGACGGCATTGGCGGCCGGAGATCCCCTGACAGACAGCGAAGTGTCGGAGCAGGTGGGCGAGGGCTCGGCCGGCTCAGTGGCCCCCACGGCCCGCACCCCCAGCTGCGCTTACTCAGAAGATTTCGACAGCTCCGAAGCGCCCTCCGACAGCACTGCGGCCTCTTGGTCCGAGACGACCCCCAGCCTAGAACCCACCCACGTGCGCCGCGTGGTAATGAAAGAAACAGCAGTGCAGACCCCGGAACCTGCCTTCGCCTACCAATGGCACCCGGGTGAGCGTACAGTCAGCCAGCAAGGGCATTTGCTTGGGGGCACACAAGCGAAACCCACACCCTCCCCGGTGCGGGTTCTGCAAGAGGGCGGGGTCTGCGGGGGGAGGAGCCTTGGCGAGAGGCGGGGTCTGTCACTCGGGAGGGGCGGGTCCTGCTACTAGAGGAGGAGCCTTTATGAAGAGCAGAGCTGCTGCAGGAACCTGGGGAGAGGTGGGGCCTGCTTCTGGGGGAGGTGCCTCAGCGAGGGGCGGAGCCTGTTATTGGAGGCACCTTGACGGGGCGGGGCCTGCTGCTAGCGGGAGGAGCCGGGGCCTGCTGCCTGGTGCCCTGGACACCTACAAAGCAGGACACCGACAAAGCAGAGCCTTACCCAGTCCCAACGTGAGGGCTGGAGACCAACCATGGGTTAGAGCCAGCACTAACCCCACTGCATTCGCGTGAGAAAGGAGTTGTAGAGAAAGGCAGAGAACCGGGGTGGCAGGCTCCGTGGCTTCAGGCATCATGGGGCACCGTCTTCTGATGCCCTGACCCACTGCCCGCACTTTGGCTCTGCACAGCGGCTGGCACGGCAACCATGGGGCCCTCTCTGGGGGACACCTACGTGGATCCCGTGCCCATCGCCAGCCACGTGGTCAGTCCAGATGCCATTGAAGGTGAGTGCCATCTTGCTCTCCAGCCAGGGTCCCTGGGAAGGGTCGGGGCAGCCCAATGTGCTGTCCCTCCCAGAGCTTCCCCAGGGAGTTCCGCCAGGGCTCATCCCTGTTGCGGATAGAGAGGGCCCTTGGGTCAGAGCCAGAAGTACCCCATGTTGTTACATATGGTCACTGCACCCCGGACCTGCCCACAGCCCTCACCGCCTACAGCCCTGCTGCCCTGGCCCTCAACGACCTGCTAAGACAGCAGCTGAGCCTGACCCGCCGTTTCGCAGAGGCCAGCCGGGAACTGCACGGCGCATTGCTGCAGGCACTGGGGCCGCCAGCCTTCCGTTACCACACGCTGGAGGAAGCTCGTGAGGTAAGCAGGGCCCAAGGCACCTCCCCGCGGCCACCACCCCCACGGCCCCCCTGCATCCTGCCCAGTCCAAGATTCCCAGACAGGCCATACTGCTGCGGCTCAGGTTTCATCTTGCTGGAATGTGCTGCCCGAGGCAGTGCCTTGGAGAAAGGGCCACAGATCCTATTCTAGGCCTAGGGGTGGATCTGTGCTCCCAAACCAAGTCGGCTCTTCACCCGGCTCACAGTGAGCAAGGTGGGAAGGGCTGCAAGCAGTGGGCTTTATCCCTTTTCTGTCCAATTTCCTACTAGGATCCTACAGGCACCACAGTCCCCCCTGTGCCCAGGGAGCCCATGACGTCCCGACAGGGCTCCTCCCCTAATTCCCACCCCCGAAACTAGTGGGCCTCCTGCCCACCTGCCCAGGAGGTGACCACACCACTGTTCTCTGGCTACAGTACATCCGGCGCCACCGGCCCACCCGTCTTACCATGGAGGCCGCTCTGGAGGAGGTGAAGCAGGAGCTGGAGGCACCCGGTGCCTGGGTCTGATGGCACCCGCCATGCCACTGCCTCCCCATCCCCCACACGCACACACACCTCGTTAAAAAAATCTTTATTGGAAGGCAAAAACAGTAAAACCCACAAATGGTTAACAGCACGTGTGCACGCGTCCTGAATGTCACACGTGTCAACAATTCACAGCTACTGTAGACAAAAACCAGAGGTGTCCCTGTCAACAGCTGGGACGGCTTTGGACACGGGAAAAGACTTGTCCCAAGCTGGCACTGACCAGGTGGTGCCCTGTGCCCTGTGCAGACTGGGCTCACTGCCTCAGCCACCACAGGCTCGGATTTCAATGACAACTAAAATAACTGCGCTAATCACGGACTGGGGCCCTGGTCGGGAGCCGCTATTCCAACCTAAACTATTGGGGTAACGACGAAACCCGCACAGCATCGAAAACCAAAGAGGCTCTGTGTTTCCTGCGTACAGGGAGAGTGGCCGGGCCGGGCCAGACCGGGGCCAGGACACTACTTGCACTCGTCCCGAGCCTTCATGCGTGCGATGAACGAGTAGCTCTTGTTGCGCCGGTAGTTCTCGTAGGGGTCATCCAAGGCCACTCCCACGCCCTTATACTGGTCCCACTTGTCCCGGACGTCCCCGCCTTTGATGGGGTCCTGGATCCCTTGTTCCTTGGCACCAAGGCCGCCGGATCCACTCCAGCCTTTGGGAGAGGCGGCTATGAGCCTGGGCCCACGGGGCGGCCCTGGACACGCAGACACAGGCATACACAGCGCTCGGGCGGGCACATGCTGCCACAGCCCCCAGCTCCTCCCTTGCTTCCCGCGGCTGTGGCACTCACCCATCTTAACCAGCATCTGGTGACCCTTGTTCTCCTCCCCGAGCCGTGAGTCCGGGATGGGGGGTGCAGAGTTGGAGCCCAGGCCAGCTGCGGAGCTGTGCAAGGGGGACCTGGTCAGCAGCGCTTGGCTGCAGAGCCCTGTCAGCCCTTGGCCCTCCCCAGGTTTCCCTGAGCCCTGGGGACCGCACGGGTAGGGGCACTCACGGCGGGGTGGCGCTCCGGGAGCGGGAGCGACGTCTCCGGCCTGGTGAGTAGGATTTGGAGCGGGAGCGCGAGCGGGAGTGGGAGTGGCTGCGGGAGGAGCGGGAGCGAGAGCGGCTCCTGCAGGGAAGGGGCGGAAGGGGCGTGGTGAGAGGCCCGAGGTGAAATGGCACCCTGCCTGCCCTGCTGTTCCCCCCTGCACGGGGCAGCCTGCCTACCTGGAGTGGGAGCGCGAGTAGGAGCGGGAGCAGGAGCGGGAGCGGGAGCGCGAGGAGGAGCCGGAGGACTTGGACGAGCGTGAGTTGGAGCGCGAGGAGGAGCGGCCTCGGCTCTTGGACCTGCTCCGGGAGCGGGAAGGCCCGCTGTGGGGAGAGGCGGTGAGCCCAGGCGAGCCCCCTGGGTGAGCCTCCTGGCCCAGCCCGCCCGCCCGCCCGGCGGGCCCTCACTCACCTGTTCCGCTTCTCCTGGCCCTTGCGCCGCCGGGCCCGCATCTTGGCGCGGAAGAACTCGTAAAGGCCATTCTGCTCCCAGCCCTCACTGTGTGCACACACAGGGACGGCGGCCTGAGCCCGTGCCCACAGGCCGGGGGCCACCCTGCCCCCCGCACAGGCACCCTGAGTCTGCAGGTGCCTACCTGTTGCGTGGCCTGTCGTGGGAAGGGGGACTGTAGAAAGCCTCCACAGCCGCCAGCAGCCTCTCGCTGGGGGGCATAGGGGGCGGCAGGCGGATGTCTTTGGGGTCCAGGGGCTTGTACTCATGGTCCTCCAGCTGTGGGGACACAGGGTCACGCCATGCGCCATGCCACAGGAGGGCACACTGCACGTCCGGGCAACGACCCCCACCAGCTCCTTACCTTCACAAGGGGCGCCATCAGCCCGGCAGGGAGGTCGAAGTAGGGCACGTTGGGGACCAGGCTGGGGTCATCGTGGTTGATGTGGGGGGGCCCCTGCCGCCGCATGTGGGGGGGCTGTCCATTGAAGCCGTGGGGCGGAGGACCAAAGTCGGGGTGTTGGGGACCCCCCCAGGGTGGGTGTTCGTTGATCCCGGGATGGGGCATGCGGTGGCCAGGGTGATGGTGAGGCGGCCCCATGTCTGTGGGGCGGATGGCCGCAGGTCAGCACTTCTCCCACTAGTCCCACGGCTGGCCCTGGGTCCACAACCCCCCCCCCCAGCCCCCCACTCACCAGCCGGGAAGTCGCCCTGCGGGTAATCAAAGCGCGGGGGGTAGGGCGGCCGCTCAAAGGGGTGGCGCGGGGGAAAGTCGTCCTGCAGAAAGCGCGGTGGGAAGCGGCTGAAGCCGTGGGGATGCGGCGGCTGGTTGAACTGGGGGTGCTGCTGGTGCGGCGGGAAGGGGCCACGGAAATGCGGTGGCCGCTGCATGCGGAAGGGGGGCTCACGCTGGCCCCCACCCCAGGGTGGCTGTTCGTGCTGGCTGTTCCAGGGACCCTCGAACTGGTTGTTCCAGTTGGGGTCCGGCTGGTTGCTCCAGGGCGCGTCACGCTGTCCATTCCAGCCGGGGTCTCCACGCTGCTCACCCCACATGCCCTCATGGCTGTTGTTCCAGGGCGGACAGTGAGGGGGCCCGCCCTGGTGGTGTGGGTAGGGGGGTTGCTCAGGAGGCTGCGAGGAAGAGGAGCAGAGGAGCAGACGTGAGCAAGCCACATGGGGTGGACCCGGGGTGGACCCCCGGCATCCCCCCCAAGTGCCAGAGCAGTCATGCCCACCTGCTGCTGGCCCCACGGTGCCACGGGGTGTGGCTGGTCGAACCAGGGAGGCTTGCTGGGCGGGATCTGGTCATGGGGCCCTGGACCCCGGGGCCCGGGGGCAGCAGGGTCCTGCACGCCCCCGGAGGCATCGTACTCGGACGATCCAGGCATCTGGATGGGAGGCTTGTTCTCATCTGCAAGGGCGTGGGAGGTCGGCGGTTGGGGGTGGGGCACCCACAACCCCCCCCACGCTGTGTCCTGGAGTCCCCAGGCCTGTGGCACCTACCAGGCTGTGTGGTGGGCGGGATGGCTGGGGCAGGCGCAGGCGCCGGTGGAGGAGCCGGGGGTGGCGTGGCCTTGACCTCAGCGTCCAGCTGGGGCAGGGGCAGGGGCTGGGGCTGGGGCTGGGGCTGCGCCAGGCTGCTAACAAAGTCTTCGTGCTGCGTCTTCAGGGTCTGGATCTGCTGCTGGAAGGCCAGCTGCACGGGCTGCACGGCTGCCGAGTGCTCACTGATGAGCGTGGCCTGCGGGCGGGCAGGGGTTGGCACTCAGACCGAGTCGGGAGGAGGCCCTGAGATGTGGGGATGCAGGTCCAGGCAGGAGTCACCTTCCCCGGGACCTCCCACAGGAGCTACCCTGCCTCCTTGCCTGGTACTGCCCGAGCCCCAACGCTGGGCTCTGCAGCTGCTGAATGATGGAGTCATCGAAGTAGCCGTTCTTCTCCCACAGCTGCAACAACTGCAGTGGGCATGGGCGGACCAAGTCAGGTTAGGGCGTGGAGGCTCTGGGGCGCCCAGCCCATCCCTACCTGCCCACTCAGGGCCCCGCGCACCCGGGCGATCTTCTGCTGCTTGTCCTCCTCCACGGCCAGGAAGCTGGTGCAGTAGATAGGCACCACCACTCGCTGCAGTGCGGCCAGCAGCTCCCGTGCCTGCTTGCGCTGGCTGTGAGGGAGAGAGCTTCCGCGCGTCAGGGCCCTGCCGGGACCCAGTCACGCGCCCGTTACCAGCAAGGCTCTGGCCACACGCACAGCATGGCGTGAGAGGCGGGAACCGGCCCTCCTCTGCTGCCCACTGCCGGGGGAGGAGTCGTCGTTGGAGCAGCCTCAGCATCCCCCTCCCAGACCAGGCACTCCCAGCTAGGCTTGCCCAGGGGGCAGCGGGAGGAGGCGACAATAGGCACACAGGAAGCAGAAACAAGTCCTGAGGATGGAACTGAGAGTGGGCAGAAGTGGGGGTGCAGGCCCAAGAGCCCCAGACCTGATGCAAAGCAGAGGCGGTGGCTGGACACTGGGCATGTGGCAGGGAGGCGGTGCACGGTGGTGGTGGGGGGCAGCGCGAGGTGGGGGGCTGGGGCACAGCCTCACCAGTGGTGCAGAACATCGTTGATCAAGTAGATGAGGTGCAGGCGCAGCTCAAAGTGGGCGCCATCCGCTGTGATGCGGTTGCGCAGGTGCCCGGCCATCAGCTCACAGTGCGGCGGTGACTTGGCGTTGCTGAACATCCAGTTCTTGCCAGCCTGTGAGGGTGAATGTGAGGGTGAGCAGGTGGCTGGGGGCAGGCAGAGGGTGGCCAGCGGGTGCCAGGAGGCAGCGGGTGAGGGGCAGGCCAGGCAGCGGGTGCGGAGTGGGCAGAGTGTGGGAGGGCAGCGCGTGCAGGCGGGCAGCAGTCTGGTCCGCGCACCGAGATGGCGTCCTTGGTGCATGTGTCGATGATGGGTTGCAGCAAGCCATCAAACTCGCCCATGTCCAACTGCGTCTCCTCCAACAGTTTCTGCATCTGCTGCTCCAGCGCATGGTTCACAGCCGCATTCACCTGTTCCTGAGGGCAGAGCCGCATGAGCTGTTGACCCCACCCCCCGGGCAGGATCCCCAGTGATGGAGGGGAGGCAGAGGAAGGGTGATGCAGATGCAAAAGCCAACCCCACAAAAGAAGTGGAAAAGGGCTGCCTCAGTGGTGTGGATGGTGAAGACAGGCACGGGATGGGGTGGCAGATGGACAGGGCCGGGCAGGAGCAGCGGTACCCTCTGCAGCCAGCCACCTTCTCATTTCTGCTCGTGGTGCCTCAGCTAACAGATGCGGACAAGGTCCAACATCCAGATCCCAGGGACCCCCCCCCAGCCCCCCATACCTGCCGCAGTGCCAGCAGGTGCTGCTCCTGCTGCTGCAAGTTCCACTGGCTCTGCTGGATGAGTTCATCCACGGAGGGGGCGCCCTGTGCAGGTGGAACGGGGCCTGCGGGGGCCAACGGCGGCTGGGGCAAGGGTGGCAGCGCAGCAGCCGGCTCCAGCTCTGGTGCCTGCTGCTTGCAGATGACTGGGGGAGAAGGACCCCATGAGGAGGGGTCCCCCCAGGTGCTCAAGGCCCCCGTGGAGCCTCTGAACCCGCAGGGCTGGGTCCGCACCTCCCGCTACCTCCAGCTAACGTTCTGGGACAATCCGTGACACCCCCCAGTCACCTAGCCAGCAGTTGGGGAGAAGTCTTCGGCACAGGGAGGTCAGGTCCAGGGCCTTTGAGGCCTCTGAACCCCCTAGGTTCTGTGGACACCCTGGTCCCTCCCCAGGGAAGTGACATGCTGGGACCAGTGTCCTCAAGCTGAGCCTGATGGCAGCACACACAGACTAGACCATCCCCCACCCACAAAGTTTTGTTTTGATGTCCCTCACCACCACCCCAGCCCGCCCCCCCCCCCCCAATGTTACAGCCAAATGCTATTCTGGGCATCTCCAGACCAGCTGTGCTGATCTAAGTCTCTGGCCCCTGCCCACCACAGCCCGGGGCTGTTATCAGCACAGCTCGGCTGCCACCTTGCCCCACCCGGACCCCACTGCCTTGCTGCGCCCTGACTCCAATTGGCCGTGATCCCTCACACCAAAGCACGGTGCCCGCTGGCGCTCTTTCCCAGTGCCTGAGATGCGGATCTCGAGGTGCCTTAGGCCCCCCCCACCCAACCCAGGAGGGTCTCACGCTAGATGCCCGAGCCCGGGTTGCCGCCGCCGCACTCACGCTGTTGCTGCTCCAGCGCCAGTTTGCATTTGTAGTAGCTGTAGAACTCGCCGCCGAACAGGAACGAGAACTTGGGGTTGTCCTTCTGCTTCTCCATCGTCATCTTCTCAAACTCGGGCCCGTTGCGGGCCACGAACTGCGCCAGCTTGTCGATGACATTCCGCAGCTCCTGGTCTGCGGGGCCGAGACAGGGCCACGCGGGCCGTGAGCCCGGGCCGCCCAGATGCGCGGCCGCGGTGGGTCGGGCCCGGGGAGGGGCGGGGGGCGCCCAGCAGGGGCCGCCCCCGTACGGGTCCCGGCAGGGGCCGCGCGCGCGCCGGGACTGCAGCCCCGCGGGAGAGGCCGCGGGTCGGGCCGCAGGCCGAGCCCCGCCCCCTCATAGCCCCGGGGGCCCCGACGGCGGGCCGGGCCGGTGGGGGGCCCGGGGGCGGGGAGCCGCGCTCCGCGGCCCCGGGCTGGGCCTCACCGTCGGGCGGCAGCGGCATCTCCATGGCTCCGGCCACCGGGAACGTCCTCCGGCGCCTCACGATCGCCCACCAGCGCCGTCGGCGGAAGCCGGCCGGAAGTGGCGCGAGGCAGCCGTTTACGGCGGGCCTCGTGGGCGCTTCCGCCCGCCACTTACGGCCGTCGCCAAGAAACGCCGGAAGAAAGCCGGGAGGGCGGGGAGCCGGAAGTCTCGCGATGCTGTCAGAGCGTAGGCGGGGCCCGCGCACACCCGCGCCCGCCCCCCTGCCTCCCGCCTCCGGTCCCTCGCCGCGACTTTGGCTCCGAGACGCGACGGCGAGGAGAGCTGCGGTGCGTCCGGGAGGCCCCGGCCAGCCTCCGGGAGACGCCGGGTCCCGGGAACGCGAGTGGAATTTCTTTTCTTTTTCCGGGGGGACCCAAGTCAGTCCCCGCTGCCGTCAAGATGGGTGGGAGATGTTCCGGAGGGCTCCCGGCCGCACCTGGCACTCGGCCGGTTCCGTGCGGGCCGACGCTGCCACGAAGCTTCCCCGCGGGAAGTTTGCTTGTGTAAGACGTGAATAAACAGCGTGCGACCGAACCCATGCCTGGTGACATCCCTTCAGTCCCAGGCCTTGGGCTCTAGTTTTGCGGTTGCAAGGCCGAGTCCGGCGGCATGAGCTGGGGGGGGGGGGGGTATCAGCTTCACGGTGTGGACACAACCCCACCCTACCCGCCCTTTCCCTGCGGTGCGGCGGCCCCTCAAGCATCCTGCTCCCTCCCCTGCTGGCCTCTTGCAGCCACAGGTGGGTGTGTCCACCCACTGACCAGCTCGCTCCAGGAGGGCAGGGTCTGCACACTCGCCCTGCTCCCAGTGCAGGGTGCTGGGAGGATGGATTTGTGAGAGCCGCATCCCAGGGTCGCAGAGGAGCCCAGTGTCCCCAGCTCCCATCTCTCCTGCCTCAAGAAGCCACATCATCACCCAGCTGTTGCCAATGGGTTTATTGTTCCCACAGTGGGTCACATTTGATCCCCGATGCCCCCCACCCCCGCTGTGCACGTTCACAATCTCCAGCTAAGGCTGCTGGGCCCAGGATGCCTGCTTCAGCTGCTCACCAGCCAATGCTTTCCCAGGGCCTGGGCTTCTGCTAACAGGGCTTTGTCTTCTGGCTTTGGGCTGCGGGGTTGCAGAGCTGGGGGCAGGGGCTTCCACCTGCACTGCCCCGGCCCCAAGTGCCTGTGAGACTCCACAGTGCCCCAAGAGGACCACGCCATGCCCATGTGTCCTCAGCAGCCTGTCCATCTGCACAGGAGGGGGCAGGGAACCCCTCATTCAAATGCTTCCCAAGTTCATTGTAGGTTCAAGGGGAGATGCCTCAGCACAGCCAACGGGCTCCAGCGGCTCCGACCCGGGATCAACCCATTCAGCAGCAGCATCAACCGTTGGGGATGAACTCCAGGCCCTAGGCCAGAAAGGGCCCAGGAACAGCACTGATGTGGCCCAAGCCGGCAGGAGCCAGCCCCATCAAGCTGACCTGTGGGCTGATCCGGGCCTAGGTTTGTGCTGGCCAGACACCAGCCCACCGGCCCCAGGTGCCGGCCATTCCGGGGACCATTAGGTCCTGTTCAGGGCGGTTACATGTTTCCAAATAAGAGACTTCTGTGGCCATTAGCCCGTCACACACACACAAACACGCCACAAAACACCCCCTTAAAAAAGGCCAGATCCTCAAAATCTGCGTTGTCACACCAGATACTGAGATGTCCGGGCAGCAGGGAAGGCCCGAGGCCCCCAAGAAGGGTGAGGGAAGTAGCGCTGGGAACGGGCACGGGGACCCTGCCCCTGCGGCCCAGGGGGATGGGCAGGCAGGGCCCACAGCTCCTCTGCTGTCCTGTCCCCAATGACTGCAGTGTCCGGTGGCGCAGGGGCCATCTGCAGGCTACACATCGTAGCGGTCCGAGCTGTAGGCGTGCAGGTAACCCTGCCGACTGTACTGGACATGGGGGCTGTACTGGTGCCCCCCATGCTGTGGGAAGAGCGCACCCACACCGTTGTGGGGCTTCTCCAGGGGGTGCTCCTTGCTGTCCAGGTCCCCCGTGGTGACAGGGAGCATGTGCTTCCGGGCCTGATTGGCATCGTACTTAGTCTGTGAGAAGGAGAGAGAAGTGAAGCAAGGTACCCTGGGCTACCCCTCCAAGGCATGCCCTGAGACAGCCCCAGGGCATACCCCAAGGAAACCCCAGACACGCCTCCAAGAAGATCCTTCCCAGACGCCCCCGAGGACATGCCCGCACATCCTGGCCTAGCCAGAGGGCAGGGGTGCGGGGGGTGGGCACCCCTCACCTTGTTGTACAGGAAGACCCCGAGGATGGCCGTCATCATGCCCAGGACATTGGTGCTGGTGACAGGGTTCCGAAGCATGAGGAGGGACACGGTGATGACCATGATTCTCTTGGTGGCGTTGGCCACTGAGTAGCTGAGTGGGCTGATGAGGTTGAGGATGCTGAAGGCGATGACATTCTGCGCGAAGTTGCAGAAGCCACTGACAGCCAGCAGCAGCAGCGTCCAGGGCCACTGGGCCACCGAGGTCTGCAGCACAGCACATGTTCGTCACCCATCCTGAGGTGCCTGCTGAGGGACGCACCTTCCCACGCCCTACACTTGGGGTGACCTCAGAACCCCAGGATGGGGTACCAAGCCGCCCAGGCCTCACCTCATGCCCACTGTCCCGTCAGCCACTGCAAGAGGGCAGGGCTCTGGCCTGCAAGCAGCCGCAGTCAACCATGTGACGGGGAACATGAGGCCACGGGCCATGTGCGGTCACTGAATAGGGGACCGGAGCCAGATACTGCCAGCCCTCAAGGGCCTAGCCTGCTCCAGTGACCAGCTCCAAGCCCTTTTGCAGCCAGGCCACAATCAGCCCAGCCGCCACATGGGGGTCCTAGTGGCACAGACCAGGAAAATCCCCACCTGAGCCTCACTCTTCGGCCCAGAACTGGGTCCCACCAGACCCGGGCCAAGCTGCCTCGACTAGCCTTCCTGGGGTGCCCGCGGGGACCCGAGCTGTGTTCAGGCTGCTGGCCCCACTGAGCCTCTCTAGGGAAGCTGCTTGGCTCTGTCCCTCCTCCTGGGATGGGCAGCTGCATGCCCGGCCAGGGCCCCCACAACCCAGATGAGGCAGAGGGCTAGGACCACACCTCAAGGCTGCTGAGTCACAGGGACGATTGAGCGCAGTGTCTAACCGTGGGGACAGGGGCAGTAGCCTGACAGGCTGACAGGGGTGGGTGGAAGCCCAGTCAGCAGGCCACGGGGGAAGGAAGCTCACCCCCGGCACAAACACAAGAAGGGGAACACTGAGGGGGAGTGTCTGTGGGTGTGTCTGCATGCATACGGGTGTGCGCACGTGCATGTGCTCACTTGTGCATGGGTGTGATGCTGAGATGTGGTGGAGGGCGTGACCCCAGCAAGAACCAGACCAGTGCGCACAGACACGAGGACCCTGCACAGACATGCCGCCCGCAAGTGGCAGCTCAGCCACAAGGAGGGGGTTGGAGCATGAGAGGGGCATGACGGGAGTGTCACAAGAGCAAGAGAGTGGCAGCAGGGGCGAGGAGTGGCAGGAGTGTGAAGGGAGGGGAACAAGAAGGTGGCAGGAGATGGCCCTCAGGGTGGCAGAAGCCCACCATGAGCCCAGAGACCAGCCCGTGGAGTCCTCACAGGCTGTGCCAGACAAAGACCCTCAGCACAGGCCCTGCAGAGTGACCCGCATCTGGGCCACTGTCCCACGCCTGAGCCATCATTCTCCCCTGGAGTGACCCGTATCTGCGGCGTCACTGTTCACTCACCAGATCGCTGCTGACCAGGAAGGCTGACAGGTCCACCAGCACCCAGGTGGGCACCATGAAGAACACGGCATGGCAGCCCAGGATGTTGAGGAGCCGCAGGTGGTGGATCCGCGAGTCCCGCAGTACCTGGGAGTCGCTGGGTCAGCCCCAGGGGAGTCACAGGCACCCCCCCACCCCCGCCCCCACCCCACACACCTTCTTGGAGAAGATGTTCTGCAGGGAGAAGCAGAGCGTGGCGGCCAGGGCGCTAAGCAGCCCCCACACGTCAAAGGACAGCTCAGTGACGGTGGCCAGCAGGACGCCGCTGATGATGGGGATGAGTGACAGGTACACCTGCGGGGGGCAGGGGGGCTGGGGATGGCTGCCAGAGCCAGGAACAGGCCAGGGAGGAGGGCAGGGCTGACATATCCCCGACACTGGCGGTCTTGTGAGAAGCCGCAAGCCCCCACCCCCAGGACTGAGTCTGGACTTCCATTCCAGTACTCGGCTGAGATCCCCAGTCCCCGGGACAGAGCAGAGACCCCCAAACTTCAGGGGCTGACACCCCAGAACCCCAGGACGGAGCTGAGAACCCCAGTCCGCGGGGACATCAAGGTACCCCAGCACGTTCCCAGGTGACCCCCCCTGCTCTGGGCTCAGCCCACTTCCCACGGCGGGAGCAGATCAGGAGGCACCTCTGGGGAGCCCCTTCCGCAGACCCCGCCTCCGGCCCTCCCAAAGCAAGTACCGGGGTCCTTCTCACCCCGTCTTCCGCAGGGCGCGGTGTGACTCAGGGTGGCGCGCCCAGCCTCCACGCCAGCGCCGGGACAACGTCCGGGACAACGGGGCACCTGATAACCCCCGTGACCTCAGTTCCCAGGAGACAGCCGGCATCCACGGGGCGGCCCCCCAGGCCTCCAGGGTGCATACTGAGGGGAGTGGGGGGGGACCCTGGCACCCCCGCGAGCAGCGCGCACAGGAGCCTCACGAGCGCGCCGGGCCGTAAGGGGTGCGTGGACTGATGGCCCGACCCTGGGTTCCGCCCCGCAGCCCCGAGCGCAGGGAAGGGGAACCGGAGGACAGCAACCAGGGAGCCGCGCACGAGCGCGGGGACGGGCAGCCCCGCGGGCCGGGGCCACGTCAGCAGCGGGGGGCGGCACCTCGGCCGCGCGCCTGTGCCCCGCCCCTACCTTGGTGCTCTGCTTCTCCTTCATGATGAGCCGCGACAGCAGGACCACCCAGATGGGCATGGTGGCCTTGACTGCGGAGACAGGCGGGGCTCAGCCGCGCCCCCGCGCGCCCGCCCCCCGGCCGCCGCCCCGGCACCCACCGGTGTGCGCGTAGGACACCGGCACCTTCCAGATGCTGACGTGCGCCGACACCGACGCGAAGTACTTGCCGAAGGCCAGCGGCAGCACGTAGCGCGGGTAGAAGCGCGGCGGCAAGAGCGCGCCGGTCGTCGGGTGCGCGCCGGGCGCGGGGCCCGACACGGGCGGCGCGGGGGGCACGCGCCAGGCGCGCAGCAGCGGCGGGAGCCCCGCGCATAGCGCCAGGATGTGGCACAGCGACACGGTGACGGGGAACGGGAAGGCGCTGAGGATCACCTTGTTGACCACGTTGCCGCCCGCGCTCAGTGCGTACCAGAGCAGGCAGAGCGCGGCCACCCGCGCGCCCTCGCGCGCGCCGCCGCCCCCCGCGCCCGCCGCGCCCGCCGCCGCCGCCGCCGCCGCCATCCCGCCCGCCCGCGCCCGAGCGCCGCCCCGCGCCCGAGCGCCCGCCCGTCCGACGCCGGGGCCGCGCGGGGCGGGCCCGCCGCCCGCCGCTGCCTCCCATTGGTCGCTGCCCGCGCGCGTCACCGCCGCGCGCCGCGGACGCACCACCCTTCGACGCGCTTCCGGGGCAGGGCGGGTCCCGGAAGCGGAAGGAGGATGCGGACCTGCGGCCGAGCCAGGGCGACCAGGGGTTCCTGGGACACTAGTGCGGGCGGGCGGTGCGAGGGCTCGCCTGGCGGGACCGGGGGTCGCGGGCCAAGCCCAAAGTCTTAACTGCGGCCTGTGGGGGCGTCGCCGAGGGCCAGAGGCCGGAACTGCGGGAGCGGGGGCAGCCGTTGAGGGCAGCGGCCGTGGCAGGCCAGTGTTGCCCCGAAATGACCTCGGGCTGTTCCCAGTCTCGCCCGGAGGGCGGCGGGCTGGGGAAGGGAATGTCGGAATCCCGTTAGAATCCACTCTCACTGCTTGGAGCACTGCAAGGCGGCAGCCAGCGATACTGGGGCACATCATCGGCTCACACCATTGTATTCGGGCTGGACCACCTGGCCTGGCTGCCTTGCTGCCAGCCTACAGCCTCCTGGCCCTGTGCACCCTGCACCAGGGCCACTGCTGTTGGGGGCACTCATTTGTGACATCCAGTACATGGGGCAAGAAGGCACTCTGGTGACACTGAGTGGCCAGAGTTTCACTTATCTGGCCTGGGACTTTTCTCTGGACTTGGGTGACATCAGCTGGCAGGCAAAGCCGCATAGACAAGAGGACTCCTGAAGGCCCCTCAAGCCCCTCACCTGGGCCACTGAACACGGGTTGGGGGGAAGGGTGTCGCTGTTTATGGGGCAAATGAAAAATGAGTCTCAGACTTGTTTGTGCAAATGGTTTTTTATTTTCACGTTTATATCACAAGATGTCCACTTACTGGACCAAATAGCAAAGTTGCTCCTTCTGCGTGCAGAGAACACAGAAGTCTAGGTACTGTACATTCACTAAGGCTCCTTGTTTATGTTGGGGAACCATAAGGCAAACGAATCTAAAGGAATGGTTACGAGTGTCCCAGCGCAGACAAGGCCTCGCCCACGGAGGCCCACACACCAGTAGCACCCACTGTGCTGTGTGTGGGGATGAGGAAAGGGGCTCTAGAAAGATGGCTTTTCTAGAAAGGGGCACAGGAAAGGAAGGTAGGGGAGTCATTTGGCTTGTGGGATGGGACGGAAGGTTCGAACAAACTAGGAGACATCCATCTCTGCAGCGTTGCTTTGGAAATGGATGGAACTGAACTGAAAACAAATCTGTGGGTACTATGGAGTGTGGGTCTGACCTCTGGCGCTGGGGGGACCCGCAGCAGGGGTTGCCAGCTGCCCTGCTGAAATCTCCCTGCAGCCTTTCTGGGCCTGCCTGCCACTAGGGCTGTGCCTGCAGGTGCTGGGGCTCTGCACCATGTCCATGTGGGGACGGACATTCGTTCCAGCTGGTCTGTGGTGGAGCTCTGAGCTCCCGGCCTGCCTTCCTGCCATGGGACCTTCCTTTGCCATCACGTTAGCAAACTGGTAGCAGCATTTCACAAAAGAAGGAGAAGTCTGAGGGAAGAGCATAGGCCCAGGCCGCCATCAGTCCAAGCAGACATAAGGCAGGATATTGAGCCCACCCTCATCCCCGTGCGGGTCAAGCGCAATGCACTGTGTCCAGTCGTACCAGTTACCCTGTGTGTCCCGACACCCATTCACCCCTGGCCACGGGCGGCCCTGCAGCCGCTCCACGTCGTCCAGGGTCACATCTCGTGTCAGCCCCGGGAGATGGACAGGCGGGCCAGGCGCGGGCTCCAGCACGTGAGGCTGGCGGGCGTGGCGCCGGGCACTCTCCTCCTGACGCAGGTATTCGGCCATGAAGTGGTGGGCGCCAGGGGTCTGGGCGCCCGACGAGGATAACAGGCTGCTCTGCCGGCTCAGGTACGACTGGATCATCTCATTGCGCGACAACTCCTTCCAGTTCGTCTGCTCGAAGGGGCTCTGCACAGTGCCCTTGGCCTCAGGCCCGGCCAGCTCTGTGCGGGGCTGCTCAGGGGACACGGGGCTGTCGACCCGCGCGGGCTCTTTCTGGGTCAAAGGTCTGATCTGTCTTGTCATAGGGTCAAAGGTGAGCTTCCGCTCTTTTAACCTCACAGGCTTCACGCCTGCCTCGGCTCCCTGGCCGTCCAAGTTCACCGTGTAGTCGCGGGGCCGGTATCGCTTCTTCTTCCTGCTGTCCAAGCCGCTGCCCCCGCAGGATGAGGCTGCGTCACTGTCCACCTTGGAGGAGTCTGGGGAGAAGCCAGCACGGGCAAGGAGGGGGTCGGCGGCAGTGGGCGGCAGCCGTGGGTGGCCTTCAGGATGCTCCAGGCAGCGCACAGGGCTCTCGGCACTGGGCAGCAGCTCGAGCCGGCGCACGGGGGGCGTGGATGGATGGGCTGATGGCAGCGGGGACGGCACCTGCAAGACTGCGTCAGGTGCCTGTGACCGCAGCGCGGGGCTGGTCAGGCGGCCCTTGGATGTGTAGGGGCTCCGTTGCCGCGCTGAACCCTCGTGCCTTGAGTTCCGGGGGCTGAAGGAGCAACGAGGCAGCCCCTTGGGGTGAGGCAGCCCGGGGGCAAGGTCCACGCGGTCCAGCTGCAGTGCAGCCTTGGTCTGCAGGCAGGGCCCCGGGGGCTGGCCCAGACCTGGGGAGCTGGTATGTGGCCGCACGGTGTTGACTGGGATCTTACCCCCTGCCGGCTCGCCCTCGCCTGCCTCCAGGCGGCTGACCTCAGGGCCCAGGTGCCCGCTGCCGTCCAGGGGCCCGGAGCAGCTCTCTGGGCTGCCGCCGATACCATTGGTGGGGAGAGGGGAGGAATTGGGGACCAGGGGTTCGTGGCTGGCTTTGGAGACCTTGGGAGGGGCCACCGGGAACCCGAGGTCACGCTGGTCCCCACGGCGCTTGCGGGTGCCCAGCCGGTCCAGGCGTGGCCCCGGCAGTCTCTGGACGTCATTGCGGCTCCTCAGATCATGGAGGCCCTTGGCTGCGCCGGTGGTCCCCACATCAGGCCGACAGTTGTGTGCTCCCCCGTTGGCCGAGCCTGGGGTGCTGGCCAGTCCCCGCATAGCCGCCTCAGCCTGAGGCGCGGGCTCGATGAGCTTCTGCCAGCTCCGCAGCAGCTTCTTGGCCCTGCGTGCCAGCTCCTCATTCTGTGTCTTCTTGCGCACATCGTTGATGAGTTTGCCCAGCCGTGTCTCCTGTGGCACAGTCCACACGCACGCTAAGCGCATGATGAGCACATTCACACATGCCTAGCCCCCAGCACACACACACACACACACACACACACACACACACACACACACACACACACACAGGCCCAGCCCCTAGCACACACACACAGTCCAGCCCCCAGAACACACATACGCACACACAGCCCAGCCCGCAACATGTGCGCGCGCACGCACACACACAGCCCAGCCCCCAGCACACATACACACGTACACAAAGCCCAGCCCCTAGCACATACACACACATGCACACACAGGCCAGCCCCCAGCACACACAAGCTGAACACCAGCAGCAGGTGGCCAGCACTTACCTCCAGCGCCTCTTTGGTGATGGGGAACCTCTCCAGGCTGGAGATGACGTCCAGCACCGCCACCATGTTCCGGATCTGCAAGGTAAGAGCAAAGTCATGTCACAGACTACAGGGACTGCTCACTCAGCGCAGCCCAAACATGACCAGGCCAAGCAGGGCCCCTCCACAGCTGTGGGTAGCATCATCCGCCTGTGGATCTCTCTGCAGCACATGGTGCCCTGGCAGGACATCTAGTGACAGCGCTGCAGTCCCACTGAGACATCTAGAGCAGGACATACTGTGCTCTGAAAGTTGTCTCTTCCAACCCCTGGGTCCCAAGGACCCCGATGCAGGTGGTGCCAGCCTCATCCACAGACGCCAACACAGGGTGCTCAGAGGGCCGAGACTGCCCAGAACCTGGAGCTGCACCGATCTCCCCACACTATGCTGCAGCCACAGGGGCCTCAGGACAGGAACTGCTGTAGCTTGATCATTGAGCAGCAGGTGCTGAAGACTGGGGCACAGGGGGAGGAGGGATATGCCGGGCCACCCAGAACCAGCACTGAGACAGCTTAGAGGCTCAGTGACTCCAGGCCAGGCAGCTGTACTGGGCATCAGGGATGGCAGCAGGAGCCAGCCCAGAGCTCCAAGCTCCAGCAGTTGCATGTGCCCTGGGAAGTCCATGGGGTATGTTCCCAAAGACCTCAAGGACCTGCGTTGGGTCCCACCCACAAGTGTCCTCACCCAGAGGGCCCAATCCTGGGTAGCCTGATGGGGCGGCTGCCACCCTGCTTCCTTGGCCAAATCAGAGCCTTGTGGAAGTCCAGAAAGCCCCAGGACAGGGAGCATAAGACAGCGAGAGAATGCCCCAGGCGAGCAGCCCACAGGCCGCCCCCTACCGTCTCCAGGCACCAGTTTCACCTCGTGGACAAAACAGCTCTTCTCCCGCCTCTTGTAAATACCCCCAACATGGCCAGTTTACAGAGAAGCACTGAGGCTACAGAACAGCCGGCAGTAAACTCTGAGGTAAACAAACATGGACAACGGCTCCAAAATCAACAGTTCACAGACCACATGTGTTAGGTCAAACCTCAGCGAAGGAAGGCCCAGCACAAATAATGCACAGGTACTCATGTATACACACGGGCGAACACAGGCACGCGCACATATGCACACCTGCAGCCAACCCCACAAGCAGAGTAAGATAGAAAGATACTTTCTGGCAGAGTCTGGGTGCCACACAGGCCCATTAAGTCCCTGCTGGAAAGAGGCAGGTGCGGGCTCACCACCACTGGAAATCTCTGCTCTTCTAAAGATGCCTCCGAGATGACCAGGCAGGCTGGCATGGATGCAGAGGCCAACTGATCCAAGGAAGGACAGGCACCTTCACCTAAGGAAGCGGCTTTCCAATCATTAACTAGGCAGAAGCCAGGGGACGGGCAAAGGATGGGATCAGGCTTCGCATCTCCACAGACGAGATAAGCTCAGCAAACAGACACCTGCACACGTGCTCACAATGCTCAGCAGCGGGCACACCACTGCAGCACAGACGCCCACCTGAGCTGTGCACCAGGAAAGCCACCCGCCCCAGAGCCACCTGGGGGATCTTAATCCCACTTCGTGAGCTTCTCCACCTTCCTGTGAGCACTGGGGAGGGGACTAGGCACACGTGGATTTCACAAAACTGAGGGTGGGCACTGACCCACTTCTTCCACAGGCTGGGCCCTCACCTTGCTGCGTCACCCGCACTCTGAACCAATCTCTGACCCCTCCTACCTGTCTCTTTGTTCACAGTCCAGCCTATTCAGAACCACGAGGTGCCTGGTCTCTTCATCACCCCATTCACTGGCCCAGGCACAGGCCTGCAGCTGCTTCCGGGTGCCAGGAAGGCGTTGTAGGGCCTCAGCACAGGAGAGGACCAGCCCTGCCACCAAGGGGCACAGCTCACCTCACTGTCTCACGCCCCAACTGGATACTGGAGCAGGCCCCAGAGCCCAGGGAGGACACTTGTGTCCCATCACCTGCAGGGAGGGTTGAAGACCAGGGGACCCTGCTGGGGGTAGGGAAGCAGCCGGGAGGAGGGGGCTTCTCGCCGTGAGCAACAGCTGCAGCAGGGGCTGGGCAAAGTACAGGGGGTGGCCGAGGCCCACAGGAAAGAGCTTGCAATTGTTTCTGGGGTCTGGCTCCAGACCAGCGGCGCCCCTCCATGCAGGCTGAGAGGTGCTGGGCAGGCTCACCCGGCCGGGCCGGCCATGGCTACTCGGACCCCCTGAGAGGAACAGGCTCAGCCCCTCTCTCATTTCCTCAGACTCAGCCTACGGCTCAAACTTTCCCAGGCTCTGATAGGGTCCGCCAGCCACACCGGCCAATCCACAGTCAGGACGATGCCGTCCCCTGATTGACTTGTCCCAGGCACTCCTCATCCAATGAGCTGGGGCGGGCCGGGGGCGGGGCGAAGGACCGCAGGGACAGGGAAGAGCGGACCGCGAACCACTGCAGGGGCACGCTGGTTCCCTCGGCTACTCTGCTCCTCCAGCCACTGTGGATGGACAGCCGGGAGGCAGGCAGGACCTGCTGCACCACCGCGAGGGTGTCACTCCTGGGGAAAGCCCTGGAGGTCAGACGAAACCAGGACAACAGGGACCGGAGCCACAGGCACTGCCCACAGTGCCCAGGGGCTGAGGACCCTCCTGACCCCAAAAAGCCGAGGAAACTCCAACAGGGGCGACCTCCGGCTGCTCACGGAGCCCCAGTCCTGCTGGCCAGCCTGTGGCAGGTTTACACCCCAGCGCTTCCCCCTCCACTCACTTCCCGTGTCTGTAGCGTGGGTCACCACCTCTTAGCAGAGGACACACATGCCCCTCCTTTCCACCCAGCGCTCACCATGGAGCGCAGGGGACAGGCCTCATCCTGGCTGTACCCCAGGGCAGCACCTGGGGTGATGCGTGACCCCAGTGTGATGCGTGCTGCTGCTAGGACCCCCAGGAACCCGGCAGCGAGAGAGCACTCACTAGGGCCCCACCACCCCACGGGGAAGACCAGGTCAAGAGAGGAAGTGCAGGCAGAGGCTCAGCAGGGATGTGGGGGGGGCACATCCCCCTCCCCGCACCTGCACCTGCACAGGTGCCTGCCCTAGGGAACCCAAGCATGACCATACACAGACCCACTTGCAGTTTCCTGGCTGTGCAGGCCTGGCGCTGCACCCCCCCCCCCAACAGCTGGAAGCCCAGCTGGAGGCCCAGCAGGACACTGAGTTCCCAGCTAAGCGTGCACCCCACCATCCCCAGGGCAGATTCAGAGAAACCTCGGGATGGCCTGCAGGTCGGGAGCCCTGACCACACAGTTCCACCTGGAGCAGACCCTTCGCTGAGGTCACCCTCTTCCAAGCCACAGAACCCAGGACCCATGGGCCCAGAGAGGGGGCATTTCCCTTGTATGCCGTCAACCTGGGTTTGATCCCAGGCACCCTATAGGGTCCCCTGAGCTCACTAGGAGTGATCCCTGAGCACAAAGTCAGGAGTGAGTCCTGAGCACCACCAGGTGTACACCCCACCCTGAATAAAAAGAACCATGAGAAGCTAGATCAAGCATGGGGGGGGGGGGGGTCCAGCCAAAGGCTGTGGACACGGTGACATATCTGAAAGCCAGCTCTGAGCGCAGTCCAGCACTCCCGGCCAAGCCTGCCTGGGAGAGACACCAGGGCAAAGCGAATCCCAAGGCCAAGGTCAAGGGCTTAAGCGGGCCTGGGGACGGCCCCCAGCCCTTCCGGGAGCCTGATGTCTGTCCCCTCCAGCCCCATGGTCCAGATGGCAAGGACTTTCCAACCACTCCTGTAGACTGAGTCCCCTCACTCCAAAGACAAGCCTTGGGGACTCCAGAAGCATGTCCAGGGCAGGTCTGGGTTGAGGGCCCAGGGACACTCTGGCTGAGAGCTTCTGTACCAGAGTGACCCAGTCATCTGATCCCTGGTGCCCCCAGTTCAGATGTATCACAGCACACCAAGGAGTGCCCCTTGCAAATACCTGTGTGGCCTGCCAGGAGGAGCCAGGACAGCAGTGCCCGCCCCAGGAAGGCTGGGGGGACGCTAACGGGGCAGAGAGCAGGGTGGGAAACACATGGCCCCAGTGCTAGGTGTGGCAGCAGTGGTCTGGGCTGAGAACCACAAGAAGTCTTTGGTGTACACAGACACCCGCCACCCCATCAAGCCATGCCCTCCCAATAGGGTCCAGTGCGACCCCGGTGACAACGCAGGCTGGAGGCCCTCAGTCGGGATCCCAGACAGAAGCACTCCGAGAAGGGATACACGCTATGGGTGCTCAAGGCGTGGTTCGCAGTCACCTGCCAAGCCACCCTGACAACATGCTGGTGGGCCCCAGGATGGAAAAGAGGATCCTGATAGCCCAACACAGGGAGGCTATAGTCCTGCTTCAAACAGGGTTCTAGGGGTGAGGTCCAGCTCTGTTCCTCAGCACCCCATGAGGCTGAAAACACTGCACCCGGCCCAGCCTGGAATGCACCCCAAAGCCGCTGGAGCCACCACAACAACAGCAGTCAGCACAGCCACCGCAGCCACCACAGCCACTGCAGCCACCAGTCAGCACAGCCTCCGTAGCCACCAGTCAGCACAGCCTCCGTAGCCACCAGTCAGCAAGCCACTAGTCAGTGCAGCCACTGCAGCCACTGGAGTCACCAGTCAGCACAGCAGCCACAAGTCAATGTAGCTACTGCAGCCACCAGTCAGTGCAGCCACCATAGCAACTGAAGCCACCAGCCAGTGTAGCCACCAGTCAACACAGTCACCGCAGCCAACACAGCCACCAGTCAGTGCAGTCACCACAGCCAACAGCCACCACAGCCACCAATCAGTGCAGCCACCAGTCAGCGCGGCTACCGCAGCCAACACAGCCACCAGTCAGCGCAGCCACCACTCAGTGCAGACCTGCAGTCACCAGTCAGTGCAGCCACCGAAGCCAAGAGTCAACACAGCCACCGCAGCCAATAGTCACCAGTCACTGTAGCCACTGCAGCCACTGCAGCCACTAGTCAGCACAGCCACCAGTCAGCATAGCCACAGCCGCCAGAGCAGGCACCAAACCACAGCAGCCACGCAGCCACCAAAGCTACAGTAGCCACCATAGCATAAACACAGCAGTCACCAGGGTCCACAGTGTGCCCAACTCAGGCACTGGCACGCTGACTCCGCATGCACTATATGAGGTTTACAGCCCCCCTAGATGTGAGGCTATGTGCCATGACTGCGGACACACTGGAGAAACACACAGCAGAGCCTCCAGGGCCATTTGGGGACCCAGCGTGAGACCCTCTGCATGTCCAGCCTCCGTCCCCAACCCCCAGGAGGGGGCTCTCCCCACTGAGAGGCTCTGCTGTGGGGCAGCAGAAAAGCATCACCATCACCACCACAACCTTCAAGGAAAGGACAGGCCAACACAAGTTTCTGCCATGGTCTCACCACCGTGCAGTGATGGCACCAACCCTGTGGCACTGCGAAGCAAAAAGTGCCATTGCAGACACCCAGTCAGGCCTTCTGGCCCTAGTCAAAGCAGTCTGAAATCCGTGGCAATTGAGACGCTGGGTCAGCCCCAACTCCCACCACAGACACAGCACCTGCAGGAGGGTGCCTGGGCACAGCTCAGAGACACCACGCCCAAAGGGACAAGGACGCACTTCTGACTAGCGCCATTAGCCACAGCCGTCCCCGCAAAACCTGCACCTGGCCCAGGGAAGGGCCCGGGCTCAGGGCCTGGTCCAGGGCACCCGCAGATGAGGATCCACAGGCACCTGCTCTACTCAGCTGTACACGGCGCCTGGCCCAGGCCCCAGCTCTGCACAACACCCATCCACTGGCCTCTGCAGCAGCCGTGGGAGGGGGGACGTCTTCTGCCAGGGTATGGACACGGGGTACAAAGGGGCTCCAAGCAGTTCCTGCCTCAGGCCATGGGAAAGACCCGGAGGCTGGGGAAGAGCACGCACACCTGCTCCATCACGCACACGTGCTGCTGCAGAGCCCAACTGTGCATCCGCACCGTCGGCCTGTCTGTGGAGGGAAGTCAGGACAGGCCTCTTTTCCTCGGCTTCGCTCAGTAGTCAGCTAATTCCAGGGATAGCTCCTCACCACTGTCCCCGTTTCTCTCACACCAGCACCTTAGATATGTGTCAGAGAGCTCCCCAAAGCGAACTCGGCACTGGGTAGGGGTGGGGCAGAGCCGCCAGGGAACCCCTGATCTCACCTGCGCCTTGGCCAACACGGGGCGCTAGGCGGGCCACAAATGCTGGGAGCAGAGGGGGCACAGGAGCACTTACCGCTTCCCTGAGGCCTTTCAACATGCTGCCACATACACATCCGCCAGGGAGCACACATGGTCATGCATACATGGAGGAATGACAGACACCATGTCCCACAGAGCAGGTGCTGTCACACGTGCACACGCCACTCAGTAGGAGCTGCCACATACACCCCACAGAGCAGATGCTACCATGTACATGCCACAGAGCAGATGCTGCCACACTACAGAGCAGATGCTGCCACATACATGTCACAGAGCAAGCGCTGCCACGTACCCACCAGAGCGGGTGCTGACACATACACTGCAGAACAGGCACTGTCATACATGCACCCGTCACAAAATACGCACTGCCACACGTGCACCTGCAACAGAGCCAAGTGCTGTCATATACCCGCCACAGTGCAGACACTGTCACACACCCACATCAGAGCAGGTGCTGTCACACATGCACCCACCACAGAGCGGGCACTGTTACATACGTACCTCTGAACAGGTGCTGTCACAAACACCAGTGCCACAGAGCTGGCGCTGTCATACATGCAACCGCCACAGAGTAGGTGTTGTCACACGTGCACACGTGAGAGCTAGCGGTCATACACACCTGCCACAGAGTCAAGCACTGTCATACACACCTCCTCCACAAAACACACACTGCCACACACACACACCACAGGAGACTGCCACAGAGCAGGTTCTGTCAAACATGCACCCGCCAGGACACAACTTGGCCACACATGCACCCGCCAGAGAAGGAGTTGTTACACCTGCCACACACCACCCACCACAGAGCAGGGACTACCATACACAGGCCAACCACAGCCCATAGGTGGTTTATCTCTCTCACACACACACACACACACACACACACACACCAGAGCAGGCACTGTCACACACCACGCGCCCAAGAGCAGGCACTACCATACACATGCCCACCACAGCATAGATGGTTTCGCACAGACACACAGACACACACCAGTGCAGGCACTAGGCACTGGCACACACCACCTGCCACAGAGCAGACACTATCATACATGTACCCACCACAGCATAGGTGTTATTTTATACACACATGTACACACAGACACAGACACATACACCAGAGCAGGCACTGTCACACACGTGCCTGCCACAGAACATGCATTACCACGCAAGCACCCGCCACACAGCAGGCACTGTCACACCAGCACCCACCACAGCACAGATGCTGTCTCACACTCACACACACAGATCACACACGCACCCACCACAGAACACACACTGTCATACATGCACCCGCCACACAGTAGGCACTGTCACACACACAACTACCACAGCACAATGCTGTCTCTCTCTCTCACACACACACACTCTGAGCAGGCACTGTCACACACGCACCCACCACAGAGCAAGTGGTGTCATACGCACACGCATCACAGAACACACACTGCCACACATGCACCTGCCACACAGCAGGCACTGTCACACAAACACCTACCACAGCACAGATGATGTCTCACACTCACACACACACTAGAGCAGGCACTGTCACACAAGCACACACCTACCACAGCACAATGCTGTCTCACACACACACACACACACACACACACACACTGAGTAGGCACTGTCACACACACACCCGCCACTGAGCAAGGGGTGTCATACGCACACGCATCACAGAACACACACTGCCACACATGCAGCCGCCAGAGCAGGCACTGTCACACACACGTGCCCCAGAACACGCACCGCCGCCGGGCCAGAGCACAGGCCACAGGCCACAGCCCGTGAGAAGGCGGAGTGTGCGGACCACGAGGAAAGCGGTGGGATGGGGCCCCCGGGAGGCCCCCCACCATCCCCTGCGCGACCGTGGCCCCTCTGGGTGGCACTCGGGTCAGGGCCCCCCCCCCATCTCGGGGGAAGGCCACCTGCTGACAAGAGTCACAGCGACACACGGTCGGGGGTCTGTGCGCCCCCGTGGCCCCCAGGGCGGCCCATCCCCGGCGGCGGGACGAGACGTGGGGCGCGGAGGCCCCCCGCAGCTCGGGGCGCACTTCCCGCTGCCGCACCTGCGGGCGCCCCCACACACAGCCGGGCCTGGGGCAGCGGGAAGTCCCGGCCACCGGCGCCCCGTGCGCGGCGGGCCGGGGACAAAGGCGCCGTCGCCACGCCCGGCCCACCGGCCACGGCCACGGCGGAGGGGACCGCGGGGCGCCGGGGACCCCCGCACCGGCTGAAGCCCGGCCTCTCGGACCCGGCCCCCGGGCGCGCGGGTGCCCGGAGGTCTCAGGGAGCCCCCCGGCCGCTTCCTCGGCCCGGGCCGCGCGCGGGCCGCGGCCTCCCGGACCGGCGCCGCCGGGCTGCCCGCCTGGGCCCGGCGCGGGCGCGGGGGGCGCGGGGTCGGCGTGGCAGCGGGGGCCACGGCGAGGCAGGCGCGCGGGGGGCGGTCACTTACGTTGCTCTGGGGGTCGATGGCCTGCAGCAGCCGGTCCCTCATCTGCTGCGGGGACGCCGGAGCCGCTGTCATTGCCTGCGCGAGGCGGGGGGGAGCGGCCGGGCCGGCGGGCTGAGGCGGGGGCCGCGGGTCACTCGCTCGCCGGCCGCGGGGCGCGGGCCCTCATGGTCCCCGCGGCGCCGGGAGAGGGGAGGGCGCGCGGGGGGGGCGGGAAGGGGCCCGGGGCGCCGCCGCCGCCGCCGCCGCACCGCCAGGAGGGGCCGCCGGAGCCACCGCCGCCACCGCCGCCGCCTCGAGAACCAAACTCCAGTGAGCGGCCCCGCGCGGAGCACCCTGGGAAAGCCGCGCCGCACGCAGCGTCGGCGCCACGCTGAGGAGGTTGGGAGACGGGGCGGGGCCGGGCGCCCGGAGCGGGGCGGGGCCTCGAGGCGCCCCGCCCCGCGCCTCCGCGCAAGCGCGCGCAGGCGCCCTGACCTGCCGCGCGTGCCCCGCCCCGCCGCCCGCGCTAGGGCGGCCGTTGGGAGACGGTTGGGCGGGGCAACGGCCCGGGCTCAGGCCCCGCCCCCGGCGCGCGAGCTGACGCTTGTGCTCGGCGCCCCCCTCCGCCCCGCCCCGTCCCGAGGGCGCCCGCCGCTACGGCTCGCGCGCTTGCCGGGGCCGCGGAGGGTGGCCCGCTGTGTATCGGGAGATGGGCGGCATCAGTGGGCCCCACCTACGGGAACCCCTCCCTGAGCATCCTCCGCTCACTCCTAGGGACACCCCTGTAGAGAAGCGCGAGCGGGGGAAACTGAGGCCAAGTCCAGCCAGGCCCGGAATAGTTGCATCGCCTTCTTTCATTGCACCCGTTTCTGACAGCGCAGATCTTGCCTTGCACGTGGCCCACCCCGTCAGGAGTAAGTCCTGAATACCACCAGGTGTGGCCCCAAAATACACAAACAAAAGGAACCTCCTGGTGAGAAGGGGCGAGGATTAGTAGCCGTGGCTTCAGGGAAAAGCACCTCTTTTCTCCAACTTACGGAAAACCCAGTGATGGTGAGCCGCACCCGGGGTGCTGAGGGGCTGCTCCTGGTTTCCTGGTTAAGACTTGCTCTGGGAGATGGCTGAGGAACCACGTGGTGCTGCCGGGGATGGAACCAGGCTTCACCATGCTCAAGACATGCGTTTAAACTCTCAACCCAGATGACTCGATTTTTTTGTAGGTTTAGTTTTGGAGTTTGGGGCCACACCCAGCAATGCTCAGGGGTTAGTCCTGGCTCTGCACTCAGGGATCACTCCTGGTGGTGCTCAGAGGATCCTGTTGGATGCTGGGAATTGAAGCCCCATCAGCCTTGAGCTAAGCAAACGCCCTCCCCGCTGGACTATCGCTCTGCCCACCTCCACCCCCAGTTGTTTTTATAGAAGCCACAGTTGTTGGGAGTTCGGGGGTCCCCATAGCAACTCCCACAGTAGTGCTGTGGGATGGGGTGACACATGGTGGCCAGGACCACACCCAGGGCTGGACATATATCCCAGGTACGTCCACTGCCACTGAGCCCACGTCCCCAACCGAGCCAGCCCCGAATTGAAGCAAGGGATAGATGACCAGAGAAGGGCTGAGGGGAGCAGCAACCACAGGCGGGGGGGATCCCCTTCTGTTCTGGGGTGCTGTTTAAGGGAATTTCCAGATTTGGGGGGGTCCACAGGCAGCCAGTGCTCAGGGGCTACTTCTGGCCCTATATTGGGTGCTGGGGGTGGAGCCAGGGGCTCCTGTTTGCTGGCCATGCTGCAGGCCCCCCTCCCATCATCCCAGTCAGCCCCATGTGCCAGGGGCTGGGCTCCATCTGTTCAACGAGTCTGTTTTGTATTTTTTTTCTTTTTGGGTCACACCCGGCAATGCAGAAGGGTTACTCCTGGCCCTGCACTCAGGAATTACCCCTGGCGGTGCTTAGGGGACCATATGGGATGCTGGGAATCGAACCCGGGGTTGGCCACATGCAAGGCAAACGCCCCTACCCGCTGTGCTATTGCTCCAGCTCCAATTCAACTGTCATGCTTCTGGGAAGCCTTTTTATTTGCAGAAAGTGGCTGTTTATGCACATGGCTGCAGGCACTGGCTTCTGCACACGAAGCGTTACTTGATCCTTGCAGGGGAAAACCAATGAGCAGAACCCTTCTCTGGCTTCCCCTGGGCTCTAGCTGGACATGGGCCCATGTGGACATACCCTTTATCTCCCCTCAGATAAAGAGTCGGCAGGGCTCTCTCCTGAGCCTGCGGCTTCAGGACCTGCCTCTCATGTTTCGAACCCACGCAGACAGTATCTTGTTCTTGGAATGGTGGATTCTGTGGACACAGGCCTGCACTTGCAGGCTCAGGTTATAGGGCAAGCACTCGCCAGAGCCCAAGCATGACCAGGAGCCCTTCCAGAGAACTGCCTAAGAGGAAACATGATGAAAGTGTGTCTCTGGGCACAGGGTACGTGTCTTCCCCCAGTCTGAGGCATTTGTATCCACGTGTGCAGACACTGGCCCAGCGCATGGAGGACAAAACCCTGTGAAGCACCAGATGCCATGATGGGCCCATGGCTTTACTCCACAGGTCACATGGAGATATGGACGCTGGTGGGCAAACAGGGTCATCCCGGCCCCTGAGCCCCTCCAAAACCCCGTAGGCTACAGAGCTCAGTGCAGCCTTGTGGCTATCCCACATGCCCAGGATGGGAACAGCCTCTGGGAACTTGGGGGAAGGGTCCCCCAAGACAGTGAGAACCCCACTTTAGTCCTAGTTGGGGGTTGGGAGGCTGTGTCCTCTCCAGAGCCTGAGCGGGACTCAAACATTCCCTGTTCCCATCCTCCAGCTCAGTTCTGTGGAGCAAGAGGTACAGACTTGGGGACACGAGCCAAGGCCCCAGGAGCAAACTGGTGGCTGTGGGTCCAGGAATGGCGGGCTGGTGGCTGTCACTTCCAAGACGTGGGGATTCATCTCTCGTGCACGGAGTTGGAGGGGAACGGACGGCTGGGAAAATCTGGCGTGGCTTGACGGATGGAAGCCCTGGAATGCACCAGCGGGCATGGGGTTAGCAGCCCTCCTGGACAGGGCGTGGCACCCGCGCAAACCTGCAGGGGTCATCAGCCTGAGTCTCGGGGTGCCTGACCAAGGCCTGGCCGCTCTGCTCTGTGAATGCTCCATGGTGGAGTCTGAGAGGCATGGGTGGAGCACACACAAGCACCTCCTAGGACCCACAACACCCCCCCAAAAAACAATAACGGGTTAGGTACCCCGGCGGGGTTTCAGTCGACTTCTGCCCTTTCCCTTCATCGGCTTGTGAGACAGGCAGGAAGGAGCAGGACAAATGGGTGCACAGGAGCATTTGTGGTGGCTTTTCTACGGTGGGCCACCCAAGAGCCCACAGGGCCCTGCCCACCCACCTGCATGGCTGGTGCACGCGAGGCCACTGGCCAGCAGCTGCTGGGGGGTGTCACGGCCACCCTCTGTTCCCATTCCTGCTGCCTCTGTTCCCATTCCTGCTTGGTCGCTTGCAGATATTATCTCATCTCTGGCCTCCAAACCTGCCTGTGAGGCGGCCCCTCGGCTATGCAGGTAGGAGCTGTCTTCTCTCAAGTCCCGGAGAGGACCCATCTGCTTCCACAGGAAAGACAGAGCAAGAGCACTCTCCCCGACTCCATCCACTCTCCTGACTGCCCAGGAATGCCTGGGGGGCACGCTAAGGAGATGGCTGACGTGCCCCATTCTGGGCTGACTGCTCCCCTGACAGCAGTGACACTGCAGTCTGAGAGGACTAGGACGGACCCCACCCCCTCCCACAGCATTGCCCAAGGCCAGCTGACTCCACCTAACCCGCATCCTGCGTGAGGCCTGGGAACTCCCCATGTAGTGGGCTTCCTGTCCCACAGGGTGTCCTCCAGGAGAGCCAAGCCCCTGGCATGCAGGGCGCACCCGCACCTCTGAGCGATCCCCCAGATCCCAGTAACTGGCTCAGAGAAAACACTCAAAGGCTCAAGGATGTGGGTCACAAGCTGAGCTGTGCCTCCCAGCCACTCCTGATCAGTAGCAACGGGGGTGGGGAGCACACACCCGGGCCCCCAGAGCCCAGTCACAGGCAGGGTAGAACCTGGAGGGACGTGACTGAGGTCAAAGGCCCTTCAGGGCGGTGCCCACGCATGCTGGGCCTCTCCCAACATGGGGAGGCCCTCGGGATCCATCCCTCACTGCATGGCCCCAGTAGCCCCCAGAACTGCCTGGTGTGGCCCTGTAAAAAAAAAAAAAACAGTAAAAGAAAAGAGCAAAGGCAACGGCGCAGTGAGTAGGCCACCTCAACTCTGCCATCACCACAGGGTCCCCCCAAGCCCCAGGAGTGATCCCTGAGCACTGCCAGGTGTGCCTCCAAAATACAAGAAAAAAAAAACAGAAATAAACAATAAAAAATGAAAGAGCAGTCCTGGGGAGAAAAAGCAAGCAGGGATACGTGGGCAAGGCTCACCACAGGCCCCAGATCCTGGTTGAAGCCAGGCAGGCAGCGGGTACACTCTGCCAGTCTCCTCCCTATGGCCTGCCCTGTTTCCACAAAGACCTCTGGTCAGCTGCCCCGCCCCCACATCTGGACATCCCTCCCCCCCACCAGACCACCCTAGGCCCCACCTCTGTGACCCATGCATACCGATGCCCATGTTCACTGAAGTACCAACCAGATGCCTGCCTTCACTCTACCCACTGTGGGGAAACCCAGGGGTTGGGAAATCACCACTAGTTTTGTCATGCTTTGGGGGGAACCAGCTGCGGTACAGGGGACCCAAGCAGGCCCTGTGTGAGGCAAGCCTGACTAAGCCACTGTACTCTCTCTCCAGCCCCTGTTTTAGCATTGTCTGCACTGCGCTGGCCTCTGGCTGGGACCGGGCAGCCCTTCCCAATGGTGGGGCACAGGGGGAGACAGACCTCAAAGGGAAAGCCTTGGGGATCCCCCGGGGGGCTGGCTAGGGGGCTCCTCACAGACTCTCCAGAGGAATGTAACTGGGTTTGGGCCCATTTACCACATCTGCAAGGCACACAATGTTCAAACACTAGGAAGAGGCTCAGCAGGTCCCCAGAAGAGAGGGACCCCGCTCATCCCACAGCCCTAGTCGCTTGAAAGAAGGGCTCAGTGCCAATAAAACTTTACTGACAAAACAGTGTGGGCCAACTGGGGGGAGAGGGATTCCTGGAGCACAGGGGAGGCTGAGACCCCCTTCCCAGCAGGGGTCACTGTGCCGCCCTGCCCCCACAAACATTCAAACTTAGCAGAG